TTTTAATCATGGTTAAGCGGTGATAGCTATTATTAGGCCGAACGGTTTGGATAAGGCCTACTTATTTACTAATAATTGGCTAAGATCTCAATATAACGATCTCTGGCATTCCTAGCTGCACGAAGAGTACGTTATATATATCCTTTATTAAGAGATTTCTGCCTCTATCTTGCCGCCTATGAAAACTTATTATAGGTTATATAATAGGATAGAGGCGCTAATAGAAGTCATTCGGTTCTACTAATGCCGTAGGATATAACAGTTAGCTAACGATGTGCTAATGGATCGTAGTTATAGTTATGTTGCTAAATTAGTGTGGTTCTCTCAACTTGATTGGCTTAGGCGTGAAGTAAATACATCCATCGTTGGGCACACTTCCTGGCCCTAGAGGAATGACGTCTGCATTCTATATATAGTATATAACTTACTGCTTTTGATAGTCTTAATGTAGGTGAATTGCCGATAAGAAGCTCTTGGAACGTCTTAAGGCATATTGCTCTATTTCTCCTTGAATCTTTCGACACGGTATTTCGGCAATAAATTCTATTCTCTTCGACCTATATACACTCTAAACGGTGAGTGGGATCGCTAATAATTTGACCGAACATTGATTGTATATGGTCAGAGCTCTAGTCTATGTTTGCAGCGATGAAAAGAGTATATGCTATAGATGTAATGATGACCGCGATTCAACTTAAAGTGAGATTTTTAAAGCAGAGTAAGTGGCTAAAAGGTGTATATATTTAGTTATATAAGAATTTTGCATTTATTAAGTACTTCGGGGGCATAGTAGAGCCTTATATGCGACTAGTTCAGATAGTCCAAGCACCTTTCTAAAAGAGGTGTAGAGCCTTCACGGCTATTAGTGAATGTTATAAATAATGGTAGCTCCTAGGGTGCGCTAGATGACTCCTAGGAACTCTTATTTAGCCTCTAGGAGCCTAAATGCTCCCGGGAGCACAACCATCTGCCCTGGGAGTCAGTAATTAGCGTCGCGTGCCATACAGCTAATATAGACTTACGTATTATAATTGTAGGTAAGAGAAAATGATTACTATATATACTTAACTAGATCTTCATAATGGTTTGACTTTCTACCGCTATAACCATTACATTTCAGATTTGCCTGAATCCTTCTCCCCCATATATATTCTGCGCTTAAGATATCAGACTCTTAGTGGCTTTGGGACCCCTTAGCTATCTATCAAATAGGGCCCCTTAGGGAGGATAAGTCCTACTATGGCATTACCTAGAAAGGAAATGCCTATAAGCTCACTGTGAAGAAAGAGACCCTAAAAGAAGGTCGGCATAAGCTAAACAACCTTGCACGGAGCCTATTCGATCTTTCTACACTTAACTCTCAGCTGGATGGCATTGTCTTCTTTTTCCTCTATAAGAGGTGGCATTAAGAACGTTAACAGAACGATATCAAACAGCGGTGGTTTAACGCAGCCGTGCGTAACTAAGTCCACGCGTAGATATCTCCGCGCCATCTTTTCTCGCTATCTATAGCTAAAGAGGTTGATAATATAGAAGAGGAATTAGCCGGAATTTCCTCTAAGCCATATACGCTCTCTCCTCCGATATAGAATATTGACGAGATTACCTTCCCGGGACTTCCTACCCCTATATGGTTAGAGGTATCTCAGCCTCCTAGTCGTGAAGTCACATTAGATATGCTTACAATAGATCGGGTGCCCTAGGATATTTCACCGAATGATCCAGCCATCCTATCCATCAATAATAAGCACGGTGGACTACACTATATCCAGATTCACAGCTTCGACCAAGGGTCCTGTCCAGATGGCGAGGTGTGTCCGATCTGCTTTGAGGAAGACAGCGATAATCCCGTCATTCTGCAATGCGATGCATATAAGGAGGTGGTTCATTTAGGGTGCATAGACGGCTGGCTTGCCCATCGGTTGCCCGGGAATAATACCTCTTACCTAACACAGTACGTAACTCATCACCCTTTATTCCCGTGGTCGGTTCACTAATTACGGATACAGTCGATGCCACGGGTCTTTCAGCGCCCTCCTTTCCTCTTCGGTGGCTAGGGTTATCACTAGCGAGTCGACTACCGAAATGCCTCTCAAAGTCATACACACAGGAGCAGAAGGCTCGGATATTCCAATAGTACCCTCGCAGCTTCGATCGCCTCGGCTTACCCGGCGTTCAGATCGTTTCCCGGTCTCTATCCCCTCAAGCTCATCCGTTACTCGTCGATCTACTCGACAGAGACGGGTTCCCGATCGCTTCCGGCCGTAGGAGTAGATTTCAGATAAACAAGAGGTGGCTAATAAATGCACGAGACCATTTTATTCGATATTACGGGATTCACCCGGGGCGATACGCACTATCGTTTCTAAGTAAAGACAAACAGTACCTTAGCTCATTCTAATTCTAGGATGTATAAACATTGAACCCGTACATTTTTGCGGGGCAGGGCCGGTTTCTACCGCGACGACCGTTTGTGTAACAGCAACTTTCAACGCTTGATCACTGACGTCGTTGAACACCCGTACAACAGCCCATGCTCGGCTTTGATGGGTTAGCATCAATCTAGTTCCATAGGGTGGCAGCCATCTCTGCGGCTCCATTAATATTAAATAGGATAGATGCCTCAACCACTCCGCAACATTTCCCTCTACTCAGGGTTCCTGGCACCGCTAAATCAAAGCTATCCCCTCGCACTCGACACGCTCCTAAGATGGATTCCATTCAGCGTCAGCCATCTAGACCTCCTACTATATGGTGTGACGGAACACCCGATTAGGACACTAAAAAAAACAACCCATCTATCTACACCGTCTTCCAGGCCCTAGTCCGACCCAGCGGTAACTACTTCTGCTCCGGCTCATCCTGAACCAGCGTAGCTAAAGGATCAAGACCAAGCTTAGAATATTCAGCCGGTTTTCTAAAACCCATGGCTGACGTATAAGGCGATCGTGGTGATTTCCCAAGGACAGTCCGTCTTCTTAGCCCGGCATAGAAATAACAAAAGTGGCTCTGGTCAATATCCACCTTCTGAAGCAGCAGTTTTCGTCTGTCAAGCCACTATTAGAAACCAGGAGTTAATTTTCTCATCCTAGCTTTCTAGGTCTGCTGGGGTGCTACTATTAGGAGGATCAGGTATTTTTGGTCTGGGAGTCAGTAGAGCTCTTAGTGAGTCAGATCCTCGCATCGAGGTGCACTATTACTGAGGGTGAGGTTGCCGCAATTGTTCGGCCGGTAAGTGCTAGTCTTAGCGCCCAATATAAGAAAGTGGTGCTCATACCTGATAGGTCCTCGAAGGAATTCAATATCTACGCGGTCGCGGAAGAGCCCTCGCCGCCTTAAGTGCCGACACCATGTTGCTCACGGAGCCCGGCGGAGTCAGGATCGGTGAGTAGGGAAACTAAGCACACCTAGTGGGCCACATAAGCATAGTTTACTAACGGTGATCAATGTTATAGTAGGAGTGGAGCATAGCTGCTAAATAGATGCAGCCGAGATAGACGCGGCAACTCTGAAGCTATTCGCTTTGGCTGAGGTTGTAAAAAGGCTGATCATAAAGAATCCTCCACACTATCCATGGAGTGCCGAGGCCAAAGGTCTGCCTAAGGAGCTGAAAAGCTGCAGTTCACCGGATGAGCTTTTACGCGTAAGTCTTAACCGCCTAGCCAACCCCACTATATACTGACCAATCAGAGTAAACTCTTCGAGCAATTAGGGGATAAGGGCGAACTAAAGATGCTGGTGAACGCGGCTAATAAGACTGCTTATCACAACCTCGAGTTATTTAAGCGTATATAAGCGCGTTATGTTGGGCAAGGTGTTGGCCTCCCGAATATATTGATAGGCAAGGAAAGTGATCGGGTATTGGCTCTTATATGCGCCAGGTAAAACGACCAACATTGCTCGCCTTGCTTGACCTTTGAGCACTAGTACACGAAGAAAGCCTTTACTATTCGGGCTAATTTCTGGTGTTGGTGTGGGTGGATAGAAACATCGGTAGTGTCCCGAGTGCACATTGGGTTGGCACTGCAACATATGCCACGGATTCAGGGATATGTGAAGCCAAGGATATATCATATTTGTATATATATATATATAGCACGCTTGAATGTTTCACCTATGAACCTCATGTCACGGCCATCCACAGTGCAGGCAAGCCCTTCGTGCCCACACTCTCCCTTCAAAGTTATTAGTTATTAGAAATAAACATCGGCAAATTTACAGCTAAAAACGCGTCATTCGTATTGCCATAAACGCGGTGCCATTGAAGCAAAATGATATTTCCTATTACGGGGGTTCAACTTAAGACCCACTCAGAAGCCCCATTGGCCGGAGCCCAGCTCACGATAAGATAGTCGCCGGGGCTCTTCGGTGGGACGTACTGTGACTAATTTCCTCTCAAGAGGATTCTCCCATGAGTAGAGACCTCTTTTGAGAGGCCTCATATTCTCGGCCTTCCAAGCGGCCCTCACTCTTGAAACGAGCTATCTGAAATAGTCTGTTGTCAACGTCCTTTTATGTTACCACTTTCAGGATACTTTACATAGCTCTATCATAGTGACAAAAGCAGTCTCTCATCCCAGTACAACTCCTAACACAAACACGTGACACAGCAACATGAACACACGCTGAAGCTTTGACTCTCCTTCGCAACTTTTTTCTGTGATCGAAAGGCCCACCAAATAGGCTAGATGTGAAAGGCCCCAATAACGTGTTCGCTGTCGTTAGCCTACAACATGGCATTCATCAGCAAACAGCTCTTATACGTAGATGCATAACGCCCGCCCACACAGCAACCGCAATATGACAGATCAAGACGAGCCGTCGCGTATCGGAGCCGGCGTTCCTAGCACTGTGCTGTCTATTTCACCACCAGATTTATCTTGTCTGTCTCCATACGATTGTGACATGCTCCCCTCCTGCGCCTGATGAACCTGCAATACCTGCATAGCTTTGGCGATCCCCCCTGTGACACAAACCAGCTCGTTTTCCAGGTGACTTGCTCAAGATGAATTGCACTCGAGCTCATACTGAAGCTGACGGACTTTGGCTTGTAATTCGCGGTTTTGGCCGGAAGACTCCTCCAGATGGATACGCGTGAGGTCAAGCTCGTCGCTCATTTCATGGTTGGCGCATTCCAATTCGCGGATTTTGGCCGTGAATGATCCGCTGTCCTTCTCATCGCTACGGGCGGGTCGCGTCTTGCATATATTTTCAGCGCTGTGTAGGCCCCGAGGCGCTTGGTGGATCAAAATGCTTACCTCTTCTCTAGGGAGGTGGTTCCGTTTTGATTGGGCAATATGTAGCGTCTGCGGAGTAACCGCCTCAAGCGACCGGCCTAATTCTTCGCAAATGGACCGGTACAGGCCCACACTTCCACTGCCCAAGTTCGACTGCAATAGGCTCTTTTTGGATTCCGTTATCGACCAAGCGTATCCATCCCCGCCTGATGGCTGTAGACGGACTTGGCTGGGAGCGACGACAAGGTCAAGTCGGTCAACTGAGGCGCGTTAATTCGTCTCATCAGACGGAGGGAATATAGCCACCTACGTATATGGGCTGCCAATGCCTCACGGCACTGTTGTCTGAAGAACGCACGCTTCTCATTGCTGCTAAGGACCATGATTGCTTTTAGACTGTCAAGCAAGCCGCAAGCCCCTCTATATATTCTGCCCATGCGTTAAACATCTTATTCAAGGCGTTGAGGATTGAACGTTTGACGGAAATCATGTTGTCGTTCAAGCATTAATATCCCAGTCGGGCCGGCCGGTAACCGAAGATCAAAAACGTTGAAACTTCAACAGGACCTCAAGATTAATCAATTGAGTACAGGGGGAGAGAGGCAAGTCTGGAGGCAGTACAATCAACTTTCTCGGCCGCCCAAGTATGGTCCTGCCATCGACCACTAATTTCTCATTCTATTCCCTCTGAACTCACTAAATGAGGGACGAGACTGTTGTCCAGGATTTATGAGACGGTGCACTTTCTAGTGATAGTAATGACAAGGGAGACGATATATAGCCAGATTTCCCCCAGTCAAAGCATCATATCCCCTCCCACGTTGTCTTGGATAATGGGTAATATCTCTCGTCGGTCAACGCGCCGCTTGCTAGATACATCTGACACCATGCCTTTGCTTGACTATTGTTTCAACATGCAACCGTCGCCAAAGAACAAGGCTGCCAACAGCCCTGAACCTCCCTTGAAGCGATCACAAACTACACTTCGACTGCGGCTTCAGCAGAGATGCTTGAGACCAGAGACGTGGTGGAAATCTCTCACGGCGTTTGGTCCCCTTAATGAGGGCTTAGAACAAAAGCTGCAACATGAGAGAGCCGTTGCCCAGGAGGAAGTTCGACAGGAGTGGATGCAACGTCTCCGGCCCAAACCTCACCGACAATGCCCACCGGCAAAATGAGGGAAAGGATACAGAAGGGGCTAGCAAGAGAAACAATGCCCCGAGAGGCCGAGCCTTCAATTAGCAAAATTCAGAAATTGATTTAGTGACCTGAATAAACCGGGTTGTTGCAATATTTATTTTTCAACAACCATCAATGCAATTTAAAGACAGTAGAAAACTTTAATTTACATGTACATACCGTACCGTTTGAGCTATGAACAGCCCTCACCTGAATGGCTTTCGTGTTCCTAGGAACTAAACACCAGATCGAAGCTAAGGCTTTTCAAGCCCCTAGCACAAATCTGCTACTGCATCAACTGAAAGGCAAACCACACACGTCATTGCAAGATACGGGCTGTGCGTAGAGTTTGCAGCCATTAGTTGGGGATTAAGATGAGTAATTGCGTTGAATTAGGGCCCCGTGGCTCCTAGGAGTCGTCATTACTGCGCCATCTGTAATAATATAAAAACATTCAGGTTCCCTCAACTATGTACCTTTATGCAGTGAAATTTCTTGTTTCTTTTGAACGACCCTATCAGCCAGTCCATGCGATTGGGGGTTTTTACAATGGCCCTTCCCTCATCTATACTGCCCTTCGATGGCCCTGCTGTAATGCAATGCTTTTTTGGTGAATTTGATGATGTCAAGAGTGTGATAAAGGAGACAATGGCCACTTTGGCCGTTGATCCCATAATCCAGGCTCGATGTACAATATACATACCATCTCCCGTCTCCGCCTTTCTCTGGCATCGATTTTTGACCACCAGGGCCTCTTATGAAGCTACAGACGTATGAAATATCCCTCCTGATATAATTCATATTTCCTGCTAACAGGACGTTCAAGGAGAATTTTGGGTCGACTTATCGCAGGCTTGCAGATGAAAAGAGTGTAACAGTGAAGGACCTCGGTAAAGCCAAAATTGCTTTCTTCGCGACCCATGAGATGTGCTTGATCACCTACAAATCTTTATACTACCCTTTCAGTTCTACCTCAAACACAAAGAACACCTTTGTCTGTGGTCCTTTGAGAGAGCGCTGGCAAGTTGATGAGCTTGAAACCCTCAGAGACCGTGGATGGACTGTCCATTACTATGCCGCCGCTGGTCGATTACTTGATGATACTTCAAACAAGCTGGAAGCGGAAAAGCTTCTTGGAAACGACTACCATGACCGTCCCTTCCTTGAGAAGTGCACTGTAATTGAGTTCAACGCCGAGGAGGAAGACGACGTTGTGGAGGACGACGAAGACGCGCTGATATCTACCTACACAACGCTGAGTGTGAAAGATGATGCAGGAATTGAAGTAGATTTACTCGCACTTTGTTTTTAATTATGGCATCGTTATCTGAATCAAGAGTCATTTATGCGGGGTCGCAAAATGCTAATAGAGTTCGAAAAGCTTAGTACCATGCATTTATCCCTTCTACGCAAAGTATCTCTAGAGAATTGTAACTACATTCAAATTGGAAGACGGTTTATTGTTTCTGTTGTCAAAAGGCTCTAATGAACTATACATTAAGCAGATACAAACTATAGTTGCGATCAATACGGTCTCATCGTCCCCAATATGGTGGGCGCTGGTGAAGTTCTTGAACCTCAAATGGAGGCATCAGCGGTTATATCTGAGAAATCACCTACCGAATCGTGGATCCCTGGAGGATGGTAGGGTGGGGGTACTGGCGAAAGCTAAGCCCAGTGAGACACAGCTGTATCGGAAACAGTACTACAATACTACACTACACAGATAATAGTAACCTCTATAGGTCATTCCAAACGAGAAATATAGAGGTACAGTAGCAGGTATGTGTAGGGCTTAGGGCATGCATAGCGTTTAGGTTGCCTGGCATAGCTCAAATTTTGAAGTTTCAGGAGGGTACAAATTCATATTGGTAGGTGGAGGCGGTTCTTATATGAAAGGAAGGCATTGCATTTTTGAGGGCGCCAGCAAACGCCGTTTATTCTAGAAGTGGTCTAGATTTCAACGGGTAGGTACTATAGGCACCCGTTAATGAATTTCACCAGCCGATGTAACTGTTTTGTGTAGGTCGCACAAACGAACGCATCAGATGCAAACGCGTTTTCTTTTATAGTGTGAATGTTATTTGCAAAAGGAAGCCTGCCTCATTATTAGGTTTGAACGGTGTTTACGGGGACTGAACTAAGTCTTGGACGGCGGACAACCGCACATAATTGAGAGATTGATAATCAATCCTATACAACGAGAGGAGCAGGGCTATAAAGAGATGTTGATTTCCCGACATAGATAGTAGCGTCTTTACTAACACGACCAACAATGGAGGGTCCCAGCAAATTGCCTGAAATGGAAGACGGACATGGAGAGGTACCACCGAGCGCACAAGCAAGTTCGGCCGAGAATACCTCGGTGTCTGGCTATGAAGTCTCGCAGCCGGTAAGATGGACATATGGCCATAGAGGACCCCGCTGACCAATCACACGCAGAATCACGACACCATGAGGAATAATCTGGCCGTGGAGCCCTTCCAACCCGTCCTTGAGATATTGAAACAGCTTGAAGAAGAAGACACCGAGCTTGCATTTCAGGCTGCACGCCTGGTGGGGTACTACCGGTGTTTGTGGGAGTCTTGCTTTTCCAAACACACAGATGGCAAGCAGCTTGAAGAAGCAAACGAAAAGCTGCGGGCCGGAAATATTCAGCTATGCAACGAAGGAAGCCACTTGAAGCTTCGCCAAGATGAGCAGGTAGCTCGCTTGCATTCCATTGAAAATGCATTGGATGAAGTTCGGGGAAATCTTATTGGTGTACTCAAAGTTTGGAACGATCGATCGGCCGGTGACTTGGCCATTTTACCAGGAGATGGGTTTCCCAGACATTAGTCTTTGCTGTTGAACTTGAACACATCAAAGCCGTTTCGGAGCTGTATCACCACAATGTTGCAATTTCGGTGTGCGACGATAGCAAGCCTGTGATAGCCCACCAATGAAGCCCTTGACCCTATGTCCCTAGAATTCGTTGCCTACCACGTGGGTTGAACAAGCCAAATGCTCGCCGACTGGACTTCCAGCACTCCGTACCGCGTAAAACGATATGACCATCCAGACCATGAGGATGAGTAGTTGGAGCTGTCAAAGTTAGAAAGAGCAGCAAATAATGATCTTTGCCACCGAGAGGGTGAGGATTCACCTCCAGCGATAGCAGCCAACAGGACAGAGCAACCCCCAAGACTGCAATTAGAAGAAGAACAGCTGCCACTCCAACTGTGCAATACAAAGCGCAACGCAGTTGCGTTCGAGTCCTGACATGGGCCATTGTATACCCGTCCACCCACCAAAAAAGAGAACCCAAGCCCAGGTGATCCAAAAAGAGAAGGAAGAGTACGACGACTCGCAGTGGGCGATCAAAGTAAGTACCAACTACCGTGGCCGTAATCTTTGTCAAGCACGAGAAAAGGGCAAATAGCGGAAAACAGATCATCAAGTGATATGGCGCACTAGGGAGGCTTCGCAGGAAAATGCTTATTCGGAGATACTGTGTTTGGTGGTTAACGTAAAACCGAGAAACAACGTAATGGCACGTACCACGAGTAAAGAGGGAAATAAACTGGTTACCCCCAATATCACTTCTCTCCCCGTCTCACATTTTCTGCTCCAGCTCAGTCCCATGTGCACTGCCAGTAGAACAATCTTCGGCGCAAACACGGCAAGGTCGAGTTTCTGGTGTAATGAGGTTTTCTGAACTGCTCGACGAGACCACACGAGAAGGACACAGCTAGCTAGTAGCAACGCCGTGGCCAACAGTGCATGTAATGTAGTTGGAATCTGCATGACTGTCTTGTGGTTAAGGTGCAAGAACAAAGGGGACTTCAGCTGACTTTATGCCCGGATTGCCAACTACGGTGCTTACTAGATTTGCTCTGTGCTGTAGGTTCCAACCTCATGGAGCCAGCTAACTTGCGTTACCTAAAGAGAATGGATTAAGTTCAATAAGTCTGTTATGTACTCTCTATTCGTCGCTAGAAATCCCCAGACGACATTGTCTCTCCCAGGAACCACCGAGTCCCTGGGAGCCTGATACAAGCTCCTAGGAACCGAATAAATGTTCCCAGGAACGCCACGGGTAATCCCAGGAGCCCCTGCGCCCCCGGGAACTTATAACTGGGTCCCAGGAGCGAAGGGCTGGTAAATGACTGCTTGGAATCTGTAAGACAGTCCTCCGTGTTCGAGTTCGGGAATGAACTATCCATGATGGGGCAATCTATAAAGCCACGACTACACCCCATCTACTGAACCATTATTACTCTACACTGCCATAACCAGTCGTGGAAAGCATATCTCTTATCGAATCAGCGGCTACCTTTGTTCCTTTCCGAAATAGAACTGACCACCAACACAATCATGGTATGATAGTCGTTACTTCCAAGAAGCTATACTTACAAGGCTTACGGAGACTAATAATGGGATGCAGTCTATTAAGTTACACGCCAGTATCCTATACTTCCCGACCGAGATTCTTTGGGTGATAGCCGACAATCTACGGGGACACGAAATTTCTGCTCTTGCTCGAACCAGCCGAATACTCTATCCCAAGCTCCGGTTGGCCCTAATAAAATACAACGTCAGACATCAGAATAGCTCTGCGCTTCATTGGGCTGCGAAATCCAACAGTACCGACTTTGCAAAGACCTTGCTCTCCTACCGGGCCAACATTAACGCATTGGTTGATGATTGCTCCCCGTTGATGACAGCCGTACGTTACGGGTCCAAGTCGACGGTGAAACTTTTTCTAAAAAATTCAAAAACAATCATCAACCTCAGGAATGCGGCTGGAAGAAGTACCCTGTAGTACAGCGTGGAAAAAGGGTCATAGTCTATCGTGAAGAAGCTCCTCCAACGCCCTGAGATCGAAATCGGTCTTTTGGATTATGAGGGACAAACTGCGTTCTGGCTTGCCATCTTTCAAAAAAACGAAAAATTGGTGCGCTTGCTGCTCTCAAAAGGCGCTGATCCCCACACGATGGATCGGGACGGTGCTTCGCCATGGATGGCAGCCTTCAGCAGGGCACCCATGTTAGATGTGCTCCTGGAACATTTTGATACTTTGCGCCCCGAATCGAAGAGCAAGATCTGCAGTTGCAATCCAGAAACGATTCAAGGTGCCGCAAGCAAAGGAGACTCTGGCGTGTTGCGAAAGCTGCTCCGCCGCGGAGGAGACGTTAATGCAGTGGACGGCCAAAGAAGAACAGCCTTGCATCTTGCAGCGAGTAATGGGCACCGAGAGGCTGCCGAGCTACTACTCAACCAAAAATCCATTGATTTGGCTGCGCTGGATCAAAGAAACGGCACGCCGCTCCACGCAGCTGCAATGGGCGGACATCTCGCAGTGGTAGATCTGTTGCTGCGTCAAAACGCTCTCGTAAACTGCAAGGACGATTCTGGAAATACCCCGCTGTGGTATTCGACTTCTAGTCATCGCGACGATGTCACAGAGAGACTTTTGACTGAAATTGACGTGGATGTCAATACAGTCGGAGGAGGGGGAGATATGATGAGCCTTCTACTTCACTATACCATCTGGCAAGAAGAATGGACACAGTTGTTCTACGATGGTTCCTTAGCTGTTCACAAGACATGTGAGGTTTGCCTACATCTAATAACTTTTATCAAATAAAAATAGTCTCTGGCTGTCATTTATATCTCATTCTTTAAAGATTAATCGAGATTCACTCCGGATCATTCCAGCATTTCGCTGGGTGAACAGGCTAGCGATGTGTATTAGGATATGCGGACGATCATTTTGTTGCGGCGACCGTTCTGACACGGGGTTATGTGAAAGACAGGCAGAGCGTTACTCTAAATGAGCCCGCAACAAACAGACTGCAAAGGGATGGAGCTTATTACCTAAAACCACGAGGGAAAGCTCTTTCTGCCATCAGGAAATTGACAATATGAAAAGTAAGGCTTAGCCGCCTCTATATAGGTAATCGTCTATTCCTCTGAGTTGTTGACAACCAAACAGAATGCCCCCGATTGGGTTAGACTTGTATCGATGGTTTGCTGGCACCTCTCTCCCTAACTTGTATGCCATTAGCGCTGCAGCTGTCCTGTCAATATGGTTGATCTATTGGCTTAGACGAGGTGTGTGGCGCTGGGCGCGGGGGAGACGCCATGTGAGCTTTTGTCGCCCCTTTCAATTGAAAATGTTAGGCTCCTGGCGGCAGTTTGCCTACGTCCACCTGCCAAAGGGTATGAGCTGGCTAGACATCTCCCAGTACCGGCAAGCACTAGTGCTGGCTGTTATGCTTGTAGCAAATATTGTTGGCCTTCGGTTGCGAACCCATTCCTGGAGGGAAGCATAGAAAAGAGCTGGCTCTTTGGCAGTCATCAACCTTATCCCCTTATGCACCGGTGTAAGTTTTGGTTTTCCGGCAGATCTGCTGCATGTAGACCGTCATATGCTCGCGTGGTTCTATCGCTGGGTAGGTCGTATATGTGTGCTCCATTCTCTGCTGCACTGTTCGCTACTCGTTAGCGTCGCCAGAACGACGACCCTTGCAAATCCACGGTACATTGTTCCAATAGCCGTACGTATCAATACCTGCGGAGCTATATTTACGACTTGCACAGGTGGCTACAGCTAACTCAATATAGGCAGGATCTACTCTCGTTCTCGTGATACCAGTGACTTGCGCGGCGATCCAACGGCGTCATATGCAGTTTGCAATGAAATGCCACTACCTTCTTGCGGTAACCGCGATCTGCGCGCTTATATACTACCTCGTGGAGCGACAGTCACTATATCGGTGGTATTTGGTAGGCGCTATTTGCCTATGGTTATCCATCAGTGCCGTTGTCTGTATGATGGCCGTATGGAACTAGAAGCCTTGGAAATCTTCCCGAAATGAGGTGATTATGAACTCTATGAGCCAGTTCCTGTGGCTTGACATCACACTACCCCTCAACCGAACGATCCGCCCTGGCTAGTACGTGCAGCTCTGGATGCCACGGGCCAGCTTCGGCGCTTGTTTTCAGCTCCCTCTTTTCTATGTTGCATTTTGGGAAGACGGACCGACTCAACGAACAGTCCGCATGGTAGCTGAGCCTTAAGCTGGGCTTACGCGAAAGCTGTACCACGACGCACTGGAATCACCGAGCAGGCAGCCGGTTATCGTACTCGGACCCTACGGACACCCTCTCAATTTCTATCGGTTCGGTACAATCCTCTTCGTGGTGGAGGACATTGGTTTTTTTCGAGCACTGTCGTACATTGAAATGCTAGTGCAAGCCAGTCATAAGCGAGAAGTAATGGTACGAAAGCTGGAGGTTCTCTGGAAGCGCCGAGTTGGCACCGATGGTATGTCCCTGACTATGGCCCGTGGTTCGGAGCCTAGGGATCGCCTTTGCTGACATACTGCACGTAGGGTATCCAAAGTGGGTGAACAAATGGATAGAACAGCTATTCTATCTCGATCGGAAAGGATTTTGTGTAAGTTGTCTGCGTGCATAACTCATCCTGGGCGCCATAATCTGACCAAGCTCCAGATTTGGCAATTCAGCATCTATTGCTCACGTACCCAATCAGGCCCCGAAGAAAATCTTTCCTACCAAAAGGGTGAGCGGCTCTGGTACTTTTATGGCTCGATTAATATTGAAGAGGAAGTTGCGCGACTTATCAATAACCAATGCGGAGCTGTGGCCGTGGCGGGTGAGTGTCACCGATTCCGATCTCATTTCCTATTATAGGTTGGAAGCGGAAGGCCGTTATGGTGCTGATAAGCTGTTGTGCAGTGTGTGCGAGTCCGTCGATACGTGAGGCTGTCACGAAGACTGTTCAACCCCGCGCGGGAAGAAATCTCCAACTGATAATTTTCGATCCCGATACATGTCATGCACGGGGTGGAGACAAAGATTTAATTGAGGACCGCCCGGATCCACTACCAACAGTTACGGGAGAGGATAAGCAAATTGACCAAGTACGACGGTTTCGCGCGGACAGAAAGGGGCCACAATCGTCATTGTCCGAGGAAGTAAATACGCAAACCGGAAGTGTTCAGATGGGCAACCATGCGAAGTAGATTGTAAATATATTAGCTCATGGGTGCAGAAACCCCACCGTTACAACGACTGAACTACCAGCTTCTAGCAGCTTCATTTAGTGCGCAAAACAATCCACCCTGATCTCAATGCCCTCAGTGCGCTTCGCTTACGCGCATTAATGTTCGGATACGCTCCGCCTAGCGCGTATGTGGAGCCTGTGGGAAACAAAGAGAAAGATTGGCGTTAAAACTGATTTCGAATATCACTGGGACACGACAAAGAATTTTTTCATATGCTGCATTGACAGAAGACGGTACCAGTGTGATCGAGTTCGCTCCGGGCCGAAGGCTGTGCTTCAAGGTAGCACGGATATCATCAATGGCTAGGTACAGCCAAAGATATGTACGGTATTCCATTTGAAGCAGCTTTTTTTCAACTTGGTGGTGAAGCTCTGGTGATAGTGGCACTGTTTCAGCTAGTTCTCTCACCCGAGTCCTCACCACCAGATCAATCTCCTCATGGATTTGGTCATTCTGCTCTTCCCCCTTGATATGTATGTGGGAAGAATCGGTGATTGCTCGAAAGTGATCCTGTATATGATCGTAGGGACGACTGATGACTAGGAATTTCAAACAGGTTTGCTCTGTTGATGAAGATGGATGGCGATGAAACGCTTGAAGCTTTTCGATTAACCGGCGCTGATCGGTATCACGACATTCATCAAGTGCATCGAATATACAAATCGTCTTGCATGATATTTCCGCTGATGCTGCCGTTATCAAGATCCGCCAAAGCTCGTCAACTTCTTGTCGGACCGTCCCCCCATTCTTTCCCCATGTCGGCATGGCATCTTGTAATAGATGAGGCTGCTGGCTGAATAGCTGATGAAGTACCGAACATAGTGCCGTAGCAAGATTGTTCTGGTCATCATTGTCTTTGAAGAAAAAGTAACATATTCCCACAGTTGGATGAGAGATCTCTGAGTAATGATCGATTGTTGATCTGGCTAAGACAGACTTGCCACAGTTTGGGTCAGCCGACACCCAGAGAAGGTCATTGCAGTTGCTCTCCCACCAACGGATGTATTCAGGGTTCCGGAGAGCCCATTGACAGGTTCCCTCAGCTCGTTTAGGGTTTATGTTCTTTTGCTCCGCGTAGTTGACGACCTTGAACACTTGGTAACAAAGGCGCTGTTGATCCGTTAAGAATCTTGCTTTCTGTTCACTAAAGTGCCGTTCGTTTTGACTGTATGCTTGATCTAAGCGATGTTGGATGCCTTTCAGCTCCTCTGAGTAGTGCCCAAGTCAATATTTGCTGGTTTAATCATTATAAGACTGTGCTATACTAACCAGATACAACAGCACTTATCCGCTCCTCTGCTTCAATTCTGTTGAGAGGAATTCTCTGCAGGAGATCGTTTGTATATGCAGCTGCCATCATAGCTGCATGCCCTTGCCACTATTTATTCTTATGTGAGTCCGAGTAGTCACAGATACCCCGGATGACTAGGCATGGGAAAGTATTCATTAGCCCAGCGGCTTCCATTTCGAAACAGAGAACGCCTTTTTCCGCGGCAAGCCGATTCCGAATCAAAGCATCATTCATCAACTCATTGCCAGAAGCAATCAGGCCATAGTGAATGGGAGGGTTATCTTCATCGTCGGCCCGCTCACTCCGTAGTACCAACATTGAAGGATCAACCGCAAATATAGCACAGCCTGCTTGATGATGGATGACTTCGGGGAGAAACAGCCTATCCGTGATTGGTTCTGGCCGTTTATACTTCCGACGTAGTCTCATGTTCTTTCCCAAAATACCGTTGATAGCCTCCTCGAGCTGATGCCATTTTCTCCACGGCTCAGGTTATCCTAGCTTCGTAGGTCGCAGGAGTGTCAGCCCTTGCGGTGGAAATTGATAGGCATTGAAGATTAGTTTGCTAGGACTAAAGACATTCTGCTTTTTCTCCGAAGTTCTAGATAGCCAGTGCAAATCACAATTCTCTTTCTTCCCTCCTAGATCAAATCAAATCGCGTTCGCATCATTCGCAGTCCTACGGGAGTATATTTCTACACCACTGCAAATTTACAATAAATTGACTTCGGCAGATAAAAGATTAATCACTTATTACATATGAAGATTCCATCCTTCTGCTCTACACAACTCATGTAGTACGACGGGAAGAACGATTATTTCCAAGGACGCGATTCACTGCAGTTTGTATCCCACTTCTCGATGATCCCGACCGTACAACACCGATAATGTGGTGGACATCAGTCTCATTAGAAGTCCGTATTGCCTCAAGAAACTGGTCCATGAATTGCTGATAGTACTTAAGTTCTTCTTCCATCATACTTGAGTAGAGTTTGCGCCGTTTGTCGGAGCCCTCATCGACGATGCAGACACAAGCGCGTTTTCTGCATTCTAGGCACGGACTTTCACCACTACACTATATTAACCAAAAGTAAGTATGAGATCTATAGTCTTCTAATATTCCCTACCTTCGTCCGCCGACGCTGACATTCTTTGCAGGCAGTTGACAGTTTTCGTACCTCGCTACCTTGTCTTGATGCTTCAATTTGAGATTGGTCAACCACTGCTCCTTTGGTAGTTGTCATTCGAGGCCGAATGGGTCTGAAGGGGGAAGCAGACATGGTCGTATAGAGGAGTGAGACGAAGGATGGAGACAATTAGCGGGAGGTATAAGTTGAGGCGACTGAAATAACGAGTTAAGTCAGATAGAGAGTGGGCATGGAGGCGTTGGTGGATCGCTGCAAGCGGCGAGAACAACTTTCAGGTTACCATACAGGGCCGGATGACTAATCATAGATGGAACACGCGACAATACGAATAACGTCATAGACTCTTGTTCGCAAAATGTTAAGAATTCCTACTCAGATGCTGTCCCCATCGGAGGCTTGAACAATAATCATTTGAACACACAAGGCTATTCTCTCAGAATGCAGTCAGGAGGCAAGGGACCAGATCTCGAAGTAGGACCTCCCCACACCCTACTTGGAAGCAGAGCCGCTAACAATATTTCCTTAGCCATTATCTGAAAGTGACAAACGTAACATCCGCAAGTACGGAAAGCTGCCGCGTGGAGGCCTACTCGCCCAGCAATCCAAGGTACTTAAAAAAGTAAAGTCTATTACGATACGTACTAACTAATAGGTGAAAGGAACGGACCTACTTCGACTCCGGCGATTTCGCTCTTTCCGCCGCTGATCGCATAACCGACAACGGCGCTATCAAAACAGGCAGAGCGCATCCCCGTCGGGATAGCATTTCGCACCCCTATGCCCCTATCCCAGCCGCTAGTAATGTTAACAAGGATGCCACCGAAGAGTTGTATAGGAAGAGTGTGGATCCCGAAAAAAGTCCTCTCCTTCAGGAAGGAAATATTGCGGATGAAGAACCCGCAAACGAAGAAGAGGGACATGGCAATTCTATCTCTCACGAAGGCTGAAACCAAATCGTCGCACTGAAGTGAAAATAAGCAATATATCATTCAGCAGGAGAGCATGAGCAGCATAGCAGTAAAAAGGGACATACGAGAATTCTTTATTATTAGGTAAAAGCAGGGTATGGAGTAATATTGACTTTATGATACACGTCCTTGAAACGGTGTGGTTCTATGTACTTTACATAAAGAATGTATGACATAATTCTTATTAAGAAGGCGGTACCGAAGAATCAGGCAGGGTGTTTAAGTGTGAAGTGGGGGAGGATGTAATTACACACACACACACACATTTCATTAACGCCCGGCGGCTGAACCGAAAGGGTAACTATCACTGATCAAAATATACATGCTTTAGTTGATGCTGTACCTCCTTGGGGCCCATACAAGATTTCCTTCAGTCGCCTCAGATGTCAATATCTTAGCGGGTCCTTGTGGGTTAGTGTTTATTAGTAGATTTGCTTGAAGGCGCTTCTTCAAGTGTTCAACATCCTATCCTCGGCAGTTGAAGCGCGTCTACCGTCTCTGGCACAGGATGGTTGGTGGGGGGTTAGATTGAGGTTAGAATGAGGCAGGGTTCATCTGTGTTGGTCGATATGACTAAACGGCGTCGAGTCGGCCTGTAGCGATGACAAACCGTATTGAGGCCCGCACTGCTTCTAGGTTCGGTTTCCAGTTTTGATCATCCAAAGGCGATTTTCCACCCAAGAAAAAGGATATGTTGCCTCGGTGAGTATGGGTACATTGCAGCATTTCCGTGCGGTGTGTGGTCCACTTCTGGCATCGAAAGAGGAAGTGGTCCACGGTCTCTCTGGCTTGTCCACATGCACATTGATCTGTCTCTGCGACATTGATCCGATAGAGGTATCCGTTGAGTCTTGCCATGCCAGTCCGGAGTTGAGCTAGCACGCTCGCTTCTTTCCATGATAATTGATCATACAACTGCCGAGTGTGTTTTCCCGGAAGTGCTGCATCCACTCGTTTGGAATGCCTCCCTACATTCTCCGGCAGGCATTGACCGGCTGCGACTTGGGATCGTACCATGTTCAGGGTGGTCGACTTCATTCGGGGGACCTGTGCTTGTGGGGTAGTGTCCTCTTGCGTCGCGGCCCGGGCCTGCTCCTTCGCCAGGCCGAGCAATTGACTCTTCTCGCTGGTTGGGACCCAGCGGATGTCTATGCGATTTTCGTGTCTCCGTATTCTTCCGATCGACTTGTATATCTGGCGGATGTGTTCCTGGCCCGACTGTTGTCGAGGATTCTTCAGCGTGAGGGCCGCCGCTTTGTTGCTGGTCAACAGCGTGACCCTGCACCGTTTCAGTCCTCGCAGCGTGCTCAATGCATGCGCCATTGCTGCCAATCCCCTAGAGTATGGGTTCTGCTCGGTTCTTGCACCCAGCGTGACGGAGAAGGTTTTCAGCCTCGGTTTTCGATACTGAGGTGGCCGCTTCTCAATCGCCACGCCAAATCCTACTATCTCATTCCGCGCCGAACTGCTGACCGCGATCTGCATAACTCCGCCCGTGTTGGCCCGTTTCTGGTCGTCTTCTGCTAACTATATTGCAGACAAAGCAAATCCTTTTCATTGGACGCTCTTATTTTGTATGTCCTCTCGAACTGACGGAATATCCTCGCTTGCAGCAGCAAGCTCGAACAATCCGTGGGCAGGTTGTTGACTGGCGGTGAATTCCCCGAGCAGCTAACCAAGAAGAAAGAACAACTATAGATCCGCGAGGCCAATACCGTTAGTTGGAAGAACACATCCACCACTTGCTGGATGCCCTGGAGCATAAATGCCGTGGCAAGCAAGGCGTCCGAATTCTTATTGGACCGTCCCAACGGGCCGGAACGTCCTGGCCGACTTTGAAAGCTCTCACTGCTCCAGTAAATTTCTCGAATGGAGGTATTAATTTGCTATGTCCTGCACTAGCATTTGCACGTTTTTGAGCCCTACTCTGAATTTGAGGCTGCCGTGTTCGAACTGTCACACCATACGAGATCCCTCAAACTTTTATCCGACAGGCTGTGTACAGACATTTTCCCTTCCTCCAAAGCCGTAGAAAGCACACTCGCAAAAGCCCGAGAAATACCCCAACGCCCACGTTGTAACAAATCAATCATGCTGTACAATTGATCCAGATCTGTCACTACGGATTCCTCACCCTGAAAATGTGCCTCAGGGAAACATACACTTTGCGCGGCCTCATCCCCAAGCAGCTTGATCTCCGGTGACGCAAATGCTTCGGCACTGATCACGTGATTGGGCGATATTGTGCTACACACATATATACCAGTGCTGCAGAGAATAATGCACGAGGGACATGAATTCCAGGCTCGGCGGAGATACTCGTGCGTTCAAGATATCGGGCGATGAGCGAGGCGTGCAGGAGACATCGGCTAGCATTGAGGGAGCAGGCCCATTCCCGTGCCAGTGATGATACTTCAAAAGCGAGAACACGGCCGTCACGGCCAACTGCTCGCTCGAGAAGATCCATGTCTGCGTAGCGGCACATGAAGATAGAGTGCCATAGTATGGGTAGACAGAATGGATCTTGTTCTGTTTTATGGTTGGTCTGCCACCACTGGATCAAGAAATCAGAGGTATATTCGCAGACTCGGTGGCCAAACTCGTGAGATTGTTTGGCGTCTATGAGGCGAGCGCTAATTCCCTCAAGAATTCCATACGCAGTAAATTGGGAATCATGGCCAGTGGCTGGGAATGGATCGGGAGGCGGAGAGAGTTGAATGTGAAGTTGGTTTTCACTTTGGGGTTGTAGAGATTGGCGGAGAAGCACAGCCCACTTAGAAGATGTAGGTGCAGCAAAAAGATGATCCGACGCTAGAGATGGAAATTGGCGTAATCGATGGCTCTTGGGGGTGGTCACAGGTTTATCTAGGATGGGAAAAATCTACAGCGTTCTTGATTAATTGCGGTCTTCCGTTACAACTATGAGTGCGGGCTTGCCCGACAAGACCCTAGTCGAATAGTTCTCCATCAGATGCATCCTGACCCTGGTCGGTCTTTGGCTTCTGTGTAGATTCCGAGTGAGAACAGTGACTGCGAATGAGGAAAGTGCTGTATAATGCTGTTACCAGGCTCTTCATAGGCTGTTCAAGTTGGCGGAAGAGGCCCGCAGTTTTGTGGGGTCAAAGTGGTCGTCTGTCAGTACACTACACCGGCTGAGAAACGGTCGACATCCGAGGTTATTTGCCGCCTTGGGATAATTATTACGCCCAGTCATATTTCGGTTAATGATAAATGATAAACCAACGTAATGAACGGTGGTATATAGTTAGAAAGACGCAAAACAAAAAATAATCTGAAAATAATAATACAATAAAATGATACAGTAAAATTTGAACCTGGTGGGGCGAGGCACTTACGGAAAGGATAGCTATATTCAACGGCCGTGTCACCCGCTAAGAATTACCCTTTTCTTTTTCTTTTTTTCTTTTTTTTTATACCTTGAGATACACTCGGGAACTTGACAGGGATAGGGCCCCTTGTTGGTGGAAAGGATGAAATCACGCAAACTTTATTAATTTGATAAATAGGGAGATACTGAGCTCAGGTAATTATCGCTAGACCTGTTTGGGTACGGTCACTGTTCACTTCGAATCTTTAAAGAATCAAATTCTTCCATTTCTTACTATCCCCCATTCCTCGTTTCACAGTCTCTCCCCGAGCCCCCTGGTTGACTTCACGGCAGTTGCAATGTGTTACCAGAGAAATTCGCAGCGGTATGTAGACCGAATGTCTCAATTGCTTTCATCAGCTTCACCGGAGCCAAACAATATTTGGAGCCTTCCCACGTCAATCGCGGGCACTGTAGAAGACGATTACCATTCTCAACAGACCGATGAATCCGATGACGATGGCAAAGCTACCTCCATAGATGGGGGCAGTGATGAAGAGGGAACTCAGGGACAACGGGCCAAGGAACATACCAAGGGACGGGCCATGGGTGGAGCCAGATCCGTAAAGTTCTTGAACCCTGAGTATTCCACAGAGTCAATGGTGAAAATGATCGAATGTATGGCCGAGTGAGTCTGGAACTGTTGCCTTATAAGATCTCGCGTGCTAACGGCCTTAATTATAGATTGGATGGACGGGTGCAGTAGGTTTTCCTTCGAGACAGGACCAGAATCCCAACACTGACACGCTTCAGATCTGATGCAAAGTCGCTCAAGGGCCAAAATCAGTGGAATCAGGGAATGCAGCGAAATTATATAGATCTGATTGGTGCCATGGACAGGTTGAGTAAAGAAGTGGCCGCGTTAAGGAAACAAGTGGAGGTTTTGTCGAGCAGAGATGCAGTCAAAACTCTAGAGACCGTGGGTTCGAAGCGTCAAAGGCAGTGAGGGAATACCACTATCTTCCATAGAGACCTGAAACGAATTATTCAGAGCTTTGTTTGCACGCGAGATGATCCTTTGCCCTTCTCCTGCGGGTACAGAGGGTTGCATGTCGCTTTCGGTCAAGTTCCGCGCGAGAACCGCAATTTGTGACGTACCATGATATCGATTTATTATCGTGGGGGTGAGTTTGGGACTGTTGTTGATTGAGGATAATCATGATCGCGATGCTCATTTTAGACATTGATGGAGTGGTCTAGACGGTAGGAAAGGTCTACGATTTGTCCGGGGAAAGCTCTGTCGTGCCCGGGTTGAATCAAACTGGCCCGCTTTTCTTAGCGTATCCACCGTTCCCTGCAGATCCACGCACGAGGGGGTAATTTTATCATTTTCGTTAATCAGGCCAATCATGTCCCTGAGCCACAATGTCGCGGGTGTCTACGGCGAATCAGAGCGCGTCTGTCATGGCGCGTCTGTCATAAAAAGATTTTTGTCCAAAACTAATACCACTACTCCCAATCCTCCGCCAAATTTCGTCTCTTGTTTTCATAGGATTGGTTCCGTCAACTCCATCTCGCTTGCGCAGCGATGAGCATTTGGCCGTTGTGGGGTCTTATAATTAAATCAAGTTGAAGGCGGACCGCAGGTCAAATATGTACCCAAGTCCAAAAGGGCCTAGCTCTTCTCATGAGAAAAGCATGCGATTACAATTTATTATTACCCGATCAGCCTTCGCCACGGGATCTCTATCCTGTGCAAAGGAAATCCTGCAGGTACCCCTATGCGCGTTAGCATCAAAATTAGCCATAGCCATGCGTGCCGAGGTTTCCGCGCTAGGCAGGGGTTGAATTCCGAACCCAGTAGCGCAATCAATAGTATAACCCCGTTTCTCTTGTTCACAGCCCTTAAGGCTGGAAGGCGTGATGGATGAAGTCAGTATATCAGTGGTAGACCCAAGAGATCATGTCGCATGGACTGTGCGCTATGCATGCCATGGGACGTAAGAAGCTCACGTTCCGTGCCGAGAGGGGCCGAGCTGCGGCCCGGTTCTGATCGCTTTACTTTTTGGCGCAATGAGGTACTAGTCCAAATGTGGTTAGAAAGACGTGGTTTAAAAATAAATGATAATAGATAGAATAATAACTAAACCAGTAATTATTGACGGAGACATGCACGACGTACCAATATGCGTCAACCCAATCTTGCAAGCGTCCTTTAATTCCCTAGTGCCATTCTAATCTCACCTCTTATGTGGAGGATAATCCATGAACAGCACCCAGAAGGCTACTTGGCCTGATGAAAACAGCGCTGTTCAATCCAGTCTAAAGCACGGTCGCACGCCGATTACCCGGTTTATATGCAATTGGAAAAGATACGTCTGGACTGCAAGAAGCGTTGCGATTTGCTCGGGGAAAGCTCAATTTCCTCCACCCATCCGCAGACCGAGCCCGGGTTTCCGGAGGGCACCCTTGCCCCTGAATTTAGGGGCCAAGACTGCGTCAACTGTTCCACGTCGGACAGGGACATACTGAGACGGAGTACTTCCGGAAAGTCGCATATCCTTCAATCGACTGAGCAATTTCAAATAGCCAAGTTCATAGCATTGTCGTATAAAGGGCAGCTATAGCTTCACGTAGTAGCATTCCTCAACCGAGATAACTCCATGCAAGCTGCCCAACATCCCGCATTGTCGCGTGTCTGTGTCGCTATTGGCTTCAAAAGGACAATTTGCGGATCTGTCTGGTGGACACGAAGATCTCGCTATCGGCATCTGACGCTGATCTCGGATTTAGCCTGGTCCGACGCGCGCGACCGGTGTTCGATGCAAAGGCCCTGTCCAATTATCGGCTCTGGTCGGCTCATAAATCTGCCCAAGCGCAATGGTAGAGTTTGAGGGCAGGAGGAAGTCATTTTGGACCAAGTTGTTTGAGACTGCTTGGCAAATTCCGAGTTAGCAAGATAGCGGTACTCAAGTAAAATTGTGACACGCGGACTAAGCGCCGGCATTACGGATGCACTACCTGGTATATCAGAATAATCAGAAAATCGCCGCTTTGCGAACTTCTTCATACTTCAAACGAGGTACTAGTCAAAAGGAATGACTATAGGCGAGTGTATTACGGAGTGAGATTTAATTTTCAGCCTACAGTCGGACTAGCGTCCCGCAATATTGGCTAATGACAGGCACCTCTGCGGCTTCCATCACGAGACACGAAACCGATCATCCGCGCTAATACATTCCTAAATCGGAGGCCACCATAATCTCAGCGAAGGCCGTTGGTGGGATGGGATCAAATGGAGAAGTGTACAAGTTTGTTCTTCGCGACTCAAGGAAAGAGGGTGTGACCGTGCAATCTCCGGTCTGGTGTATTGAATACTGGACGATACTTGTCTAGGTGGCGTTATATATCCTACATGGGTCACGTACTACATAGACGATGTTGTTTGCTGATTCATGTTCTGACTGGCTAGATGAAAAAATATCTTCGACTCCTCGCGAGGCTCGACAGTCGGGCAGTCCGGGCAGAACGAGCCCAGTCCAAACTTGAACAAGAACTGAGCGCCTCCAGGGCTGCCGAGAAGCAGGCGACAGAGGAGGTGGGCCATGTGTCCAGATTAGCGGATATTTTCTTTGAGCTCAGTCAAATTCTGGGGGGCGTGGTAGATCATTGGCTGAAGGAGCGCGGAACCAAATAATACGGCCAAGAGCCGGAGTTAACAAAGGTAATGCTTGACGTGTTGTTCAAACAGTTGGAAGCACAGAAGTTAGCCAATAGCGGTGAAAATTCCGGTGATGACTCGGAAAGTGGTGGCACAAAGGCTGCGGCATAGTGCAGCTAAATCATCGCTAGACGATAGCTTACCGTGCGTCGTTCCTTGTTCATGTACATTGGTTTGTTTGCGAAATGACTGGGATTGTTTACGGCTTGTCGAAATCAGTTTCTTCTCTACACTCTCTTTCATTCTTTGCTGAACTTTGTTTTGCATGACGCTATGCCTAATACAGCTAGATTACAATGAGATATAATTAGCTTATCGGTGTGTATAAGAGATGGACATTGATATGAGATGGTCGCTCAATGTATTTCTAGTGGAATCTGCCCGAGATATGGGGATATCAGTTCCATACCCTGAAAAGCAGGAGGATCGCTGCGTCCACGAGGCCGGATGCTCGACTTGGTCTTGTCACTGCTCGGAGCGCAGAAAGACTCAGAGGACGATGCGAAGAGGTGCGAGTGACTGGAAGCAATATACGATGGTTGTCCGGGAGAGACTCTTCTCTTCCCATCGCCCCAATTCCCATGGCGAGTTGAATTTGGCAGTTGTGAATAGCTCTTTGGGGATGAAGACACCTTCCACCGTGGAATTCTGGGGTTGTCTTCAGCCATGAGGAATATGTACTGAACTCGCAGTGATCAACGAGGGTGTGTAGCAGCCAGAACGAATGGGCGGCAACTCGAGATTACCATTAAAAACGTGAATATCTCGCTACAAAAGGGAGTCGATGATGTTTTCTGTATGGAATAGGGTAGCAATTTCAATTCAAGATCCTCTATGGAGTCAATTCTCTTTGCTTAAGACTGTGGGCCAAGGTCTCTATGTCTCCATTTGTGAGACTAGACCTGGATGGGGCGCACTAGCATAGCGCAGCATTTACCAGATCCGAATGTGGCCCGTCATTCTGTCCCGGCTACAAAAACGGGGCTCATGAAGAATAATGGTTAGGGGCCCGCAGAATTATATTCATCGACGTGCTCTAAAGCTGATGGTGATTTATAGATACTCGACCGTCTACCGGTTCCGTCACAGGATTCCAATTGTCCATATAGCCAGATCGAGAATTTCACGCCGATCGAGTGCGGCCAGATCGAGTTGTATAGTTCGATCCAGATTCCATTCTAGCACGAGTCAGGGTTCTTCCAGCTCAAGCTAGGGTTGTTCTAGCTCGAGTCAAGTATCATCCTAGATAGGTTCCATCCTAGTTTGACATTTCATCCCAGCTCGAGTCGGGTTCCATCCTAGGTCGGCTGCGATCCCGGATCAGGGTTTCTCTCAAACCAGACTCTATCCCAGATCAGCTTCAAGGTTAACCCAATTCAGTAGACGTAAGTATTCAAAACGATCCATATCGAAATTAGAAAGTCGAGACTTCCGAGGTCGGATCCCCAACCCGTTCAGGTAGTCAAAATCGAATCTAAACATAATTGAAAGCCACCGAAGTTCCCAGTGGGAATAGCAAAACGCTCATAAAACTTTGTTTAGAGCCTCGACGGGTGATATCCTACAGTTCCCAGTGGATCCCGAACAGAAGGTCTCCATATTATCTTCTTAAGACTAATTTAGGAAAATATGATTTGTTCGGACAAGTTGCGTAGTGGAGCCCCGGTTTTTTATGAACCAGAGATCCAAGGTGATCATCCTTGATGCTTTCCTATACGAGCTAAGGTTAGTGTACGTCATCTTTGTAGGGTGGTAAAAGGGAGGTGGGAAATTGTGGACCTACGCACGGCTCATACCTACTGAAGGTGAGTATCCAAGTATCCAAGTTGTACTAAGATCTAGTTCTTTGTAATTTCTAGAAGAAACCTATCCATGGACATCCGTGGATATTCTAGCAGTCGAAGGATGACTGATAGAGTTCCGGGCCGTCAATTTGGGTTTGCACCTTGGGACTTAATTCTCTTTTTTACCAAGTACTCAGGTCACGATTACTCCGTAGAGTGGTATTTCTACATTCTTCATCTCGGTCCGTTTATGGAGTCTCGAATTCCAGAGGCCTGGCCGTGTAGTATCCAAGCAAAACAGGATAACCGAAACATGGTAAGATTAACGGCGACCCAGTACCATGGCTCCTCAAGGGAAATTATACGTGGGTCTCGGTCCATTTATAGCTGGACTTCCATTGTATGCCCTCTATGAAGAGGACTTGGAGGAACTTGCAGACTATTCTATGGGATTCCTGTTTGTGGATATGTGGATCTATAGACATGGAATTTCGGAGAGCTGCTCATGGAATTCAAAACAAAATTTACATTCTGAGTTGCTGTAGAAATCGAGGAACCTGTGCACCAAAATGGAGAATGAGAACAAGTATTAGTAAAAAAAATCTCAAACATCAAAGTCACAAAAAGCTTTTAAAAAAATAGAAAAAGAAAAAGAAGAATAAAAGGACATGGATGAAACATTGGATGGACACGAAAACAAGTTATTGTTTGACCAGAAACCAAATCTAGCCCAACGCCAGTATGGCAGGTTCATCAAGTTGAGAAGATTCCCTAGCATGGCCCAAGCTTCTCGGACTTTTCCAATCACTTTTTGCCGCAAAGTGATGGGAGATAACATGAAGATGAGCATAACCCCGAGCACTGCAAGCCTGAATCCCTCCACACAAAGTCATGGCCGCTAGGGAGATAGTGCCAGTAGCGAGTTTCTCTGAGCTCAAGGTTTTCTTCTCATTCCTCATAGGAGTATTCTTCGGCATTTGCTCTCTGCCGAGTCGAGCAATGGATAGCTACCTCGGCCCTGACACCTGTTGCCATTCAGATGGACTTGGACACTATCAGGTGGCTGTGCGGTTGTTTAAGTGGAGAGAAAGTCGATACTCGAGGAAGCTAAGACATGCACAAAACCTGTTTACTACCTTGTTTCTGTTAATCCGCGCACAGCGATCGTATCTCGAGCTTTCCCGTAGTATGCACTTACAAGTCGAATGGGTGATACATACCTTGGACGTAAATACCGAGATGAAACTCAAATTACTGTTCCTAACTTAAGAGAATAATAGTCAGTCAAGATCTACGTTAGCCAGTCCTGTCTACCAATGTCATTTGATTTTGTACTTTTGAAATACTCTGGTGCGGTGGATTTAGTCCGGTTACTCATAGAGAAGAGAGCTTTCTACGTGAGGTGTGATTTGATAAAGCCCAAGCCATTTCCAAGGCAGTAAACACAAGGTGGGCAGATTGTTGTGAAGAGTGGCTATGAAGAGTGACTATGAAGAGTGACTATGAAGAGTGGTTATGGAGAGTGGTTAAGTGGCGAAGAAGAGTGGTTATGAAGAGTGGTTAAGAAGTGGTTAAGACCTGGGCGTGTTGAAAGATTAATCAGGGATTATTGGGACGTCAACCTTGGTCATCTCCAGCATTCGTTCAACGCATCCAAGAGCACGGTTTCACTGAACAAGTCCGCAAACAACCACCGATTCAGATCTACATAGCTAGAAGAGAGTCTCGCGATCCGACTGGTTCTGACAGCCTAGTAGCCTTTTAGACACCTATGATGTGTACTTGGTGGATACATGGGACAGTACTGTGATGTCAGAGCAAAGTAAACTCCTTTTTTTTTCGTGGTCCTTCCACTTATATACAAATTTGTAGAAAGCACACTTCACTTCTTACTATTTGTAATTCTCTCAACAAAAACTAATTAGTTTTCGCCTAGATCATCCCAAATTTGTATCCCTCTAGATCGTCTGCCCAGCAATTTTTGTCATGCTGATCTTGAAGTCCATTTATTGACCAAATAAGCTCCCATCTTCAACCACTCCGCGGTTTCTTCAATCATCAGTTTTTCTTCAAGTTCTCCTGAAATAAAATTCAATAAGATGGGCAGGGTTCGAATAATCTGGTTGTATTTTGGGTGCGCAGTTGCTATCTCATGTAGCAAGGCTTCTCCGTCGCTAAATAAATCACTGCGGTCTCTGAGGTGATCCTTGAGGAGGGGCAACTGTGCTTTGCAAAGCTTCCCAGTCATCTTTAGGGCGCCGCGGTAAGTAATTGGACCCAGTTTCATTGCCTTAGACAGGATTCTGTTTTTAAATGAAGCTGATAAAATACATTGGCTGGCTTTGGAGCCGTGCTGACCTTGTGAAGACTTTCGCACTCTGTATCACTTGTAGAAATTTTCGGTGCTTTTTTCACTAGTGCGATGTAGTGTGGATTCATTCACTCTTTTAGAGAGAACGGCTCGCTTAGTTTGGCACTCGGAAAATGTTGTTTCTAGGCTATTTTGCTTCGATAAGCCTCTGGCACCCAGGGAAACCTCGGGAATGCCGACACTGTTTGCCTCTTTGGGCAGTTCGAGTGGAGTACGCAAGCCACGGGATGTTGGGAATAATTGAGTTGACGCGACAGAAGACAGAAACACAGATTGATCTTCATTATCTTTTTTTCTTGGTGGAACAGAATCCATTGGGTTTGCTTTTGGGCTCGAAACGGTACATACAAGACTGCAACAACATGCATGTTACGGGCCCACGAAATGGAAAAAGCTGGCTTGGAGAACCAAAACCAGTGTTTTATTGAGCATATCAAGATAGCTCAACAAAAGGCTTGCAACCTAGAGCTCAAGAATAGGGAACTCGAGTACCAACTGGCAAAAGAAAGACAGCAGCACCCCGAACAACCTGAAGGAAGGCAGAGTTAAAGATTTACTGTTGAAGTCACAAAGTTTACCCGGTTGCCGATCGGTATTCGGGTTTACCAGCGAGGCTCTGAACAGGAAGAAAGAAGAGGTTTCTGGAGAAGATCAATGACGCCATAACTGATGGCTGGGTGAACAGGGTACTACATCCATTGGAGCTACTAGAGATGCTCAATTCTGTGTACATATTAGGACATGATGATAGCCGGGAGACTGTAAGTAACTTGGACCGAAGTGTGGAATTGAGAATTCCGAAGCCAGAGAGCGAGGACGTTTTGTGGAAAGCCACGTGGCGGTAATACCGACTTCTTGTACTGTGAGCAATGGCGGGACGGGCCGCGATGCGAACCCCTGAACCGCGACGAACGCGAAGATTCGCCGCCGCGACTAGCGAGACCGAAACGCACCACCCGACAACCGAACAACTACGCTCGCGAGCAGAAACTCGATCTTGAACGGAGAAAGACGCGCTCCCAACAGAAGAAGGCGCCAACCGAGCAAGAAGAACGTATTTCGGCAACTTCGGGCGACTCCTCGACCGAGGAGGAGAACCTGAGCGTCGCCAGGATCGTAAAGGAGCTGGTGAAACTCAGGAGAGAGATCAGACAACGAGATGAATTATACAAGGAAGAACTTCGGAAGGTCAAAGAAGAGTTTAGCGCCGCCCTTGCGGAAGTGCGGCACGAGCTACAGACATTGACAGACACATGCGCAACACCACAACTCCACCCTGAGGCATGCTCTCAGGACAATCATGGCGAGATTCTTCGTGAGACTCAGACTCTGCGCGAGGAAGTCAGCGTCCCCGTTCCCATGAGTTCCCCGTCCTACGCATCGATGGCCCGCACGCCCCCGCTCAGCCACCCAAACAACATGCGGACTCCCCCAGCAGTGAACACAAGACCAACCACTCTCACAGAGACGCTGTACTGTACGATAGACACCTCGAAGATGATTGAAGAGAACGAGAAAATATCCGCAGGTCTGATTAGGACCACAATCGAGACAAACGTCCGGACAATGGAAAATCACACTCAGTGGCGCTGTCGCGCGGTCACAGTGGATCCAAGAAACACTAACCGAATCAGAGTCGCCTGCAGCGATGAAGACGAACATCAGCTAGTGAAACAAGTGGCGGAAACCAAGATCAGGGCGGAATCCCGGGTGCTGCGGGACGAGCTCTACCCGATCAAGGTCGACAGCGTCAAGAGGGCTGCAGTACTGGATGAGAACCACAACGTCTTAGCAGGAGCGGCGATAGCCCTGGGCGAAGAGAATGAAGCCACGGTCGCCAAAATCACATGGCTCAGCAGCAAGGAGGCCGCGAAGCCCTATGGATCAATGGCCGTGTACCTAACCAAATCAACTGACGCGCAGACACTCCTGGCTGATGGATACTTCCACGTCGGAGGAGAATCGGGGACAACCAGCGTCTTCGAGTATCGGCCGCGGCCAATGCAATGCTACAACTGCCAGGAGATTGGCCACAAGGCTTTTCAGTGCAAAAAGACCCAGAAGTGTGCAAGATGCGCCGCAGAGGGCCACCATCACAGTCATTGTGTTCAACCGGTTCTAAAGTGAATTCTGTGTGGTGGGCCACATGAATCGTTCAGCAAGAACTGCCCGAAGCTCTACCCGCCATGCAATGAATAAAACGCTCCGAGTGATGCAACTGAATGTGAGGAAACAGGGAGCAGTACACGAAAGCCTCATGAACGACAAAAATACCCGAAATGCAGTAGCACTAGCGATCCAAGAACCCCAGGCGAGGAGGATTCAAGGCCGGCTCTTGACCACCCCGATGGGGCATCATAAATGGACCAAGATGGTTCCTTCCATACGGAGGGAAGGGAGATGGGCGATCCGAAGCATGCTTTGGATCAACAAGGAAGTGGAAGCGGAGCAAGTGCGGATCGAGTCACCGGACCTAACAGCGGCCGTGATTCGCCTTCCTGAACGACGGATTTTTATAGCATCGGTTTACGTAGAGGGAGGGGATGTCTCTGCGTTGGACGACGCATGCGATCACCTCCGGAAAGCAATCACAAAGATACGGCGAGATACGGGGACGGTGGTGGAGATCATGATCGTGGGGGACTTTAATCGCCATGACCAACTGTGGGGAGGAGACGACGTGTCCTCGGCCAGACAGGGCGAAGCGGATCCAATTATCGACCTCATCAATGAAATTGGACTCAGCAGCCTGCTTAAACGAGGCTCCAGGACATGGCACGGCGGGGGATATTCTGGGGACTGCGAGTCGACGATCGATCTCCTTCTCGCCTCGGAAAACCTGACGGACTCGATGATCAAATGTGCGGTCCATGGAACGGAGCACGGCTCGGACCACCGTACCATTGAGACCGTTTTTGACGCGCCTTGGACAGCCCCAAAGCTGACAGAACGCCTGCTTCTGAAGAATGCACCGTGGAAGGAGATCAATGCCAGAATCGCAAGGACGCTAGCTGCCACTCCAGTGGAAGGCTCCGTACAGCAGAAAACCGATCGGCTCATGTCTGCGGTGTCGGAAGCGGTGCGTGCGTTGACGCCGAGGGCCAAACCGTCACCGCACGCAAAGCGATGGTGGACGGCAGATCTGACACAACTTCGTCAGATATACACGTATTGGAGAAACCACGCCTGCTCGGAACGACGGGCAGGGCGAAAGGTGCCCCAGCTGGAGGACATGGCCGCAAGCGCTGCGAAGCAATACCACGACGCAATCCGAAAACAAAAGAAGAAACACTGGGATGCGTTCCTGGCCGACAACGACAATATCTGGAAAGCTGCCAAGTATCTGAAATCAGGAGAAGACACAGCCTTCGGGAAGGTACCGCAGCTTCTCAAAGCAGATGGAACGATTACCACCGATCATGAGGAGCAGGCGGAAGAACTACTGACCAAATTCTTCCCACCGCTGCCGGATAGCATCGACGATGAGGGAATCAGACCACAAAGAGCGCCGGTAGAGATGCCAGCCATCACCATGGAAGGGGTAGAGCGGCAGTTGCTCGCAACGAAGTCTTGGAAGGCGCCAGGCGAGGATGGCCTGCCGGCCATAGTGTGGAAGATGACCTGGCCCACGGCAAAAGACCGGGTCCTCGATCTCTTCCAGTGACGCCTGGAAGAGGGCACGCTGCCGAAACAGTGGAGACACGCAAAGATCATTCCGCTGGAAAACCGAACAAGGAAGACTACACCGTCGCCAAGGCATGGAGGCCGATCTCACTGCTCGCAACACTGGGCAGGATACTGGACTCGGTGGTAGCAGAAAGGATCTTGCACGCCGTGGAGATCCACGGCCTGCTCCCGACTAGCCACTTCGGGGCCCGAAAGCAGCGATCCGCGGAGCAAGCACTCTTACTCCTACCGGAGCAAATCTACGCAGCATGGCGAGGGCGACGGGTGCTGAGCCTGATCAGCTTCGATGTCAAAGGGGCCTACAATGGGGTCTGTAAAGAACGATTGATCCAGAGGATGAAAGCGCGAGGTATACCGAAGGTTCTGCTGCGGTGGGTCGAGCTGCCCGAGAACGTAGGAAGACATTCCCAACGAGTGGATACCGCACTTCCAGGAAAACACACGCGACAGCTGTACGACCGATTATCATGGAAAGAAGCGAGCCTGCTGGCCCAGCTCCGCACCGGCATGGCAAGACTCAATGGATATCTCTTTCGAATCAATGCCGTCGTGACAGATCAATGTGCATGTGGACAAGCAAGAGAGACCGTGGACCACTTTCTGTTTCGATGTCGGAAGTGGACCGCGCACCGGAAGGAAATGCTGCAATGCACCCACACTCACCGAAGTAACATGTCCTTCTTCTTGGGAGGGAAGCCACCCTCCGGTGACTAAAAGTGGAAGTCGGATTTGGAAGCAGTGCGAGCCTCAATACGATTTGCGATCGCTACGGGCCGACTTGAGGCCACTTAACCTAGCCAACGAACGCGGGTAGAATACCCCCCCCCCCCCCCCCCCCCCTACTAACCCCAACACCTTGTGACAAACGGTAGACGCGCTTCAACTGCCGAGGATAGGATGTTGAACACTTGAAGAAGCGCCTTCAAGCCAGTCTACTAACTAATACTAGCCCACAGGGTCCAACTATGAGATTGAAAGCTGAGAAGTCACTGCCGAAGGAAATACTGTATGGGCTCCAATGAGACACGGCGTATGCCTAAACATGCATGTGCTGGTAGATTAGTGATAGTTGCCCTTTCGGCTCAACCGCCGGGCGTTAATGAATTGTGTGTGTGTGTGTAGAGTATCATTGATATAACCGGTAAATGGCGGTTGTTGTAAAAAAGCATTAAAAATGTAACATTTGGATGAGCTCTTCTATATGGGTGGCGGACCCTCGCAAGCGAGGGTCCGTTTTTTTTGTAAAATATTACAGGGGCCGGTTAATGAATTTGGAAATCCAAACGGTGATTTGCCGCCCTCCTCAAAAATCGCAGGTTACAATCATGGCAATTACCATTTGCCCGACGGTATGAACTCTGGATTCAAAGCAGGGTAGATACATGGCAAAGTCCGCAAAGTCACTTCTGGTAAGTGAACAAAACAACTGTATTAGAACGTGACGAAATAGCGAGTGGCTTTAGTGCAATCGAAAAAATTGAACTAAACATGACTTCAGGATGAGGCCTGATCTAGAATTCCTCCATCTTCAGGGTTGAAATAAACGCTACATCATCTCTTTCTTGGCATTGCTAGGGATTTGTGCGCCGCTTGCTCTCTCGAATAGTGTGCTATGTTTAGGCTTGAATCCCATCATATAACGGATCTAGCGTTTACATCCGTTCCTGAACTCTGACGGAACGGCGTAGCGGAATAAAAGGTTTTATGCCCGCCTCTCTCTTGCTCTCTGGAAGAGTGTCAAAATCGATAATGTCACCTTGACTTAAATTAGCTCTCCCAAGCTCCAAATCTCGTCGGAGCACTTACTGTCAAGTAAGGAGGGAGCGAACGTCTCAAGCACTTCGCGGTTGACCCAAAGGCCAACGTGCAGGTCAAACTCATTATTTCCATGCGCACTTGGTGTGGCATTTGAAAGGCGCCCAACTTTTAGTTTGTGACCTTTCTTTGCCTTACTTTCTATTGTCTTCTAGGTGACTTCGATTCCGTACACCGACCAAGCATTGTCCAGTCCCTTGTCTAGACCAATAGATCGAGGCAGGCTCCATCCATTGAAAACCCAGGGCAAACACGTTTCGATTTTGTTCCTTTGCTCCGATACGACCCCTTCGACAAAATACATCTTTGTAGTTTTGACGACCCTATAGCACCGGATACAGGATATCATCTTCAAGGGAGCAGAAATATGCTATTTTCCATTGGTCAGCATGCTTAAAAAAACTCAGATAGATATGAGCAAATATGCTTACCTTTCTCATAGTTGATCAGTCACCTATTATCTGAGCAATAAAATTGTCAAAATCAAGAACTTTGTAGGTGCTATTGCCTTTATAGGTCGACGTCGCGAAGACCAATGATCTGCTTATGCAATGAATAGCCTTCTAGGAGCGAGAGCATAAGTTCCTAGGAACTTTGGGGTAATTTCTTTCCCCTGGGTAGCAGAAACTGAAGGGCCCACACTTTTCAGATGGGCATTCTAGAAAGGACCAAGCTCCCAGATACTACAGTGTCACGATACACCGACTAATTTAACGGCTGCCTGGTGGTGATTCATCGTTACTTTCTGAGCTTGGTTTATTGCTTTAACCCCCTGTGAATATCGTAAAGCCTAGACCCCACCCAATATAGATAAGAGTTGAAAAATAATCTCTCCCAGACTACAGAAGGCCTTCTTATGCGCATAGTCTCTGCCAGTGTAAATACCGCAATCCTTCGTATAATCGTACTTTCTCCCAGCGAAATAAAAGCGGAATAGAGACAGGTTCAAACCCAGATATGGAAAAGATACAGAACTTGAAAAACATGAATAAGCATCCGCACTGGTTAAGAAATTTGTTGCAGATGTCTTTCTGACCTATATTTCATATTAGCAAATTGATCGATACATTTGTTATAGTGGACTTACGAGTGTTTTAGAGCCATTCAACTTCTCCCTGTACTAGCAAACTGTATACCGGCGTACTCCAATAATCAGAGCTGGAACTACTGCCTTAGAAGCCAAATAAAGGAGACGAGGACGATGATTGCTGTCACAGTAGAGATGTTTCCGCGTTCAGACCCTGCGCCGTTAAATTCAGAATTGCTCCCTAAATCAAACTCCTAGTGAATCCTACAACCAAAGTTCCACACAGCCATTCCTTCCCTAGAATCGCATTTCTTGGTTGAAGGATGATGAAAAACGGTGAGATGAATTCTGGAGTCTATATTTTCTTCGGTATAATCATAAAGAAATCATCATTATGAACTTTACGTTGAATCCCTCTCCAATTGTCTAGCTTGGATCTGGAGCGTATTGCTTTCAACGGCCAATAGGAAGAGGCAACAGGCCGGACATGATCGGTCAGCAGTAAACCCCGTAAAGTTCTAGTCTAAAGGCAGAGTTTTTCAAGTGCCTTGGCCCCTGGTATAAATGGAGTTTCCCCTTATCCCTCTTCCAGAATAAATTTGCCAACTTGTGACGCTGAATTTTAATTTGACCCCTTATTTCACCCTCAACTACGCTCATCAGGTATTTTGCACTCAAAACTTACATAACTATTCCTGGAAAATATTCTTAACAACATCAATTTTGCAATATGACCACTGTAAATCCAGCAATTGGAGAGAAATACATATGCCAGGCTTTGCGCGGGCTCGAAAATTCGTGCACACAGCCAACAAGGCGAGCGCGTACACAATAAATGATGGACTCTCTAGGAAAATGACTGCTGCCTTCTGTGAGACCTACAGACCGAGGCTACATGGTTTGATAACAGCCCTTGACTCCTCAATGGGGCAATGGCGCCCAAATGGTATCACATTCAGCTAGTGCATCTGTTTCAATACCACGGAAGCTCAAAGCTCATGTACAGTAGGATTAGCATAAGCCGTTGCACTGCTAATTTCCTGGCCTAGAGATGAGCTCGTTAGCTCTGTCCTTGGTAGCTATCACTAGAGAATGATGAGCAGTAGACAACTGGCCGCGGTGGAAAGTCTGCTGTTACAGTACCCTACCGTATTGCACTCAGAGAACCCGATCGCCGTGAACACATCAATTAAATACTCTTTCTATAAACTAGCTGAACCCTAGAAGCTTCGCAAATAAACCTTGATATGTCCATGGTTGCGTTCCTTAGCGATAGCATACGCCGTCTGGCCATTTGAATCTTTCAGTCGCTTTTTCACACCACGCTGATTGGCCAACAACTGTACAACCTCATAATGCCCACCAGCCGCACTCCACCAGAAAGATGTTCTCCCCTGGTCGTCCATCACATTCACATTTATGTTAGGATGCTCCAATAACATTTTGGCAATTTCAAAACTACCTCGAGCTGACGCAAACATGAGCGCAGTAAAGGAGCAACGGCCTTGATCATTGATCAACAAAGATTCTTCGTAGCTGAGAAGGAGATAGACAATGTCGACGTGCTCTATGATTATTGCGACCTAAAGTGGCGACGTCCCCGATGGACTTTTTTGGTTAATGTCGGCTGAACTTTGCAAAAGAAATTCCACCATTGAAAATTGTCCTACGCGGTATACTGACCAGAGCGGCGGAAATGTATCCGCAGATTGAGGGCTTTTATGAAGCCCCGGCTGTCGGAAGAGGACTTTAATCAAGTCTACGGAGCCATTTACAGCAGCCTTTACTAAAGGTGTCTGGCCCAGCTTATCGGCGCAATTAAGGTCCAGATTTGTTTACTGCAAGAGGAGCTCAGCCAGTTTTATATCGGAATTGTTCACTATATACTAGATTGCGGTACGTCCATTCTCATCTTAATAATTAAGGTTGATGCATAGACTCAAAAGCAAGGCTTCAATGATAAGTAGTCTTTTATTGATAGGGAGAAAACGACCGTGTCCTTTGACAGCCAGAAGTAACGGAGTTTCCTATCGGTGGTTGAAACAGTTGACATCAACTCGCGGATTTCGTACAAGCATTTGGATTGCTCCATAGTCGCCAATTTCTGTCGCTAGGTGCAGTGGTGTTTGGCCATGATGGTCGTAGATGTTGACATTTGTCCGCTCATCAGACAAGAGAAGTTGGAAGATATAGGTTTGGCGATAGGTCAGCGCAATTGAAATAGGCGTATGTCCGTCCAGCGATTGATTATTGAGATCAATGTTCTGTACATTGAGGAGTCGTTCGACAATTTTGACGCTTCCATGCAGAACAGCGATCGAGAAGGCACTTTCTCCCAACGTATTACGCTGTATGACTTTCACTGAATGATGGCTTAAGAGCAAATCAACAGCGTCTGAGTACCGCAACTTTGTAGCCAATATGAGCGGTATAAGGCCAGAAAACATTTGGTTGATATCTGCCTTTTCCCAACCCGGAGAGTGCTGGACGATGCCTAAGTTTCTATGTCGGATTGCCCAATGAAGTGGCGGGGTGTCTTGGAAGTCTATGCAACCAAAGAGGCTCTTTCTGAAGACGACGTTAGATTCTCGAGATGCGAGACACAGACTTCGAATGTCCTTCTTGTCGATGGACTTGCCAATCCACAAAAGAAATTCTAGTGGAAGTCCCAAAAGCGGCATCTTGGCAGATTTCGTGAACTTATAGTTAACGACTACCTATACAGATGATAATAAAAGGAGGGCTCAGAATAATAATTCAGAGATAAGTTTGTCACCGCCAATAGTGGTTGAGGAGCTTGGGAGAGGCATTTATTTGAGGCAGTGGCTTCTATTTAAATATTTTTTGAGGGCATATCATTGATACGGATTTATTTAAAAGTGGATGTCGAGTCACCGGCTTCTAGGATAGTGATACTTACTCCTGGGATCCTGCGACTGGTTCCTAGGAGCCCCAAGGATCCCGGGATATGTTATAGTGTTCCCAGGAAGCACTCACCCATTCCTGGGAGTTATGCATCGTATTTTCAGAGTTATACATGAAGCTTACAAGATAAATTGAGATATGATCTGCGGGACCTACATGGTGCTTATGGGATCCCCTCCACGCGAAAGCTTCCTCGCGCTACGTCTTGTATCTAGAGTCGACTATAGATTTCCTTGATATTGATTATTCATCCGGAAGACGCTGTCCTCATTCACGTATACGTGAGACCCTCACAGCCCAGGAGCAAGCAACACGATCCCAGAAGCTTGTGGCTTGACATCCAAAGTAGACGATCTTATACCGATGAGGCCGACGTTTACACCGCGGGAACGGCAGCAATGCATAAGCCCTCAAAAAATATTATAAATAGAGGCCATTGGCCTTTGAAAACCTGTCTCTGACAATCATCTTATTTCTCCTACAAGAAGTGGTAAATCGTCCGAAAAGCCAAAACCGATCAAAATGCCTCCACAGAGAAGACGTGTGGCGTCGGACCGCCCGAACCCATCCCCCTTACCAATCGTTTATCAAGGTCAGTCTGGGATTGAAATACCATGACAGTTCCGAATTAACTTAACTCAGGCACGCAATATCCAAATCAAAGGCTCGAGGGAATCATTACGAGCATATATACTGAAATGGCAAAAATGCAACAAAAACACTACGAGGCAACTGTTATGCTACAAAACTGCGACAACATGCTACGGGCCCACGCAGTGGACAAAGACGGCTTAGAGAAGCAGAACCAGTGTTTTATTGAACATATCAAGATAGCTCAACAAAAAGCTTGCAACCTAGAGCTTAAGAATAGGGAACTCGAGTACTAACTAGCAAAAGAGAGATAGCAACACTCTAAACAACCAGAAGGAAGGCAGAGTTAAAGATTTACTATTGAAGTCACAAACTTTGCCTTACCGATCGCACTCTAGGTATTCGGGTTTACCAGCTTTCGAGGTCCTCACCAGCGAGGCTCTAAATAGGAAGAAAGAAGAGGTTTCCGGAGAAGATCAATGACGCCATAAATGATAGCCAGGTAAACAGGGTACTACATCCATTGGAGCTAGAATGCTCAATTCTGTGGATTAGGACATACGAAGGATCATTTTATTGTGGCGACCGTTCTGAAACGGGATTGTGTGAAAGGTAGGCAGTGCATTACTTTGCCTAAGCCCGCAAGAAACAGACTGTAAACAGATAGAGGCGAAGCATTACCTAAATCAAAGTCGTTTCAGAGTTTTGTATCAACACAATATTGCAATTTCAGTATGCGACGATAGAAAGTTTGTGATTGCCCACCAATAAATCCCTTGACCCCTGTGTCCCTAGAATTCGTGCAAGAACAAAGGGGACTTCAACTAACCCTATGCCCGGATTGCCAGCTACGGTGCTTGCTAGATTAGCTCTATGTTGTAGGTTCCAACGTCATGACAAGAAAATGGCTTAGAGTTCAATAAGTCTATTTTATGCTCTTTATTTGTCGCTAGTCATTCCCAGACAACATTGTTCCTGGGAACGATGCGGCCGCTTGTCAGGGGTATACATGAAGTATATCCAAACTATCTGAATAATGCTGGGGTGACTGAGTTTGTGCCTTGGATCTAGTGAGGGTTCTGCGAGGGCCACTGGGAGGGGCTTGATCATCAACAGACAGGTTTCCCTCGCCGCCTTCTCCCCGTGTAAGTGGATGACTCTCCCACTTAAATTCCGCAGTTACAGGTTGGTCACAGGTCGACAAAGAGGTGAGACATTGCAGTCCCAGTTGCATTGGAGATTTCGGGCTTTACGTCCCTCGCCCACTTAATACCCCTTCTTCACAGGAATGGTCTCTTTTCTGGTAACGGATGCTCGAGAGCTATTGCAGTTTGCCATAGGAATGTGTGCGATGCAGAAAAATCAGGTCAACACGCGAGGACAACGCCAGTCCGAGTCCGCCTTATTCTACCAAGGCCATTTAAAACAATGGATGGACACTAAATTAGCCTGTGGTAGTCTTCACTGAGTTTACGGTCATGGGAGCAGACGCATCCATTCATGATCACTTGCCTTCAACTGTCGTCACAAATTAGGGACCACGAAATCTCGGCCCCACATACGCGGCGCGGCCTTAATCACTGCAGCTCACGAGAGCTCTGGTACAGTAAGGAAAGGCCATTATTTTTCGCATAATATTTTTATTGAGAGTGCGAATGGGAAACCTTTGCCCTGTTTCAAAGTTGCGCTAAGACATATATTCTCTATTACCCTCGCCCACAAGCTTGGCACCGGATCATATTCTTCATTGCCTATGCATATTCCAATTCATCATCAACAATCACGGCACCTGTCTGTCATAATCTAGAGCTCGTTGGGGAGGTTGATTCATCCGTAAAGGAGAAGAAGAACCCTCTGTGGATGGTATCTCAAATCTTAGACCGGGTAGAGAATGGAAGGGATCCTAGGCGCTCATGAGATACCCCTTCTAGGACATGCGTAGACCTATGTGGCTTGAAATAAGAGCGTACTACAGATAAGATGTATGGCACCCCGAGAGAAATCTAATAGGAGTGGTACTGGGATGAGAGACTGCTTTTGATCGTTCTAGGCTTAACCCAGTCTTGAGATGGTCTAGAGGCGACCAGGAAATGCGCACGGCGGTTCCCAGCCAGATACATACCCAACGTGTCCCAGTGAGGGCTGGTGTCATTGGCTTATCAGCTGAGGGGTGGGTCCCGCAGTGGCCTTCGATTCGGTGGTGATCTGCACCCCTCCAGCAGCTGCTTTCTTTTCAGCAGTGTGCTAATCTCCTCGAGAGCCTCGCAATATAATCTCCAAACTTTTGAAGCAGCCCCAGTGCTCCCCGGAATATTGTTCGTTCGCAACGGCACTAGGAACTCCCAATCAGTTTTGCGATTCACCTTATCTCCATCTGAAACCGACGACGATCATCACATGGCTCGCGGGCTTCTGGAACTTTCGAGTAGCAGATCAACCACGCATTGCACTTCAATCATATTGGTAGTCAGAGGTGGTACTGTATCAGAGGAAAGCAACACATTTTTGAGGGCGTCAACAAACGCCGTTTACTCTTGACGTGGTCTAAGTTTCAATGGATTTCACCAGCTTGTGTAGCCCTGTTTTATGTAGGTCACATAAAAAGTACGCATCAGATACAAACGCTTTTTTTTTAATAGAAAAAGGTGTAATCTCTATTTTAGAAATCCACCCCAACATTAGTCTTGAACGGTATTTACAAGAGCTGAACTAAGCGTTGGAAGACGGACAACCCGCACGTAGCTGAGAGATTGCTAATCCTATACAACTAGTACTGCTATCTCAATCGGTCTTGTCTGGCCATACTCTATCATTACCAGCGGGATGAGCAGGGCTAAAAAGAACATTGGTTTCCCGACAGAGAAAGTAGCGTCTTTGCCAACACCAGCAACAATGGAGGGTCCCAGCAAATTACCTGAAATGGCAGATGGACATGGAGAGGCACCGTCGAGCACATAGAGGACTCCGCTGACCAATCACATCCAGACTCACGACACCAAGAGAAATACTTTGGCCGTGGATCCCTTCCAACCCGTTCTTGAGATCTTGAAGCAGCTTGAAGAGGTAAACGAAAAGCTGCAGGCCGGAAATATTCAGCTGTGCAAGGAGGGAAATCACTTGAAACTTCGCCAAGATGAGCAGGTAGCTCGCTTACATACCATTGACAATGCATTGGATGAAGTTCGGGGAAACTTTATTGGTGTTCTCAAAGTTTGGAATGATCGGCCGGCCGGTGACTCGGCCATTTTGCCAAGAGATGGGTTTCCCAAACGTTAGTCTTCGCAGTTGAATAGGTCAAAGTAGTTTCGGAGCTGTATCACTGAAATATTGCAGTTTCAGTGTGCGACGATAACAAGCCTGTGATAGCCCATCATAAATCCCTTGACCCTGTGTCCCTAGGATTCGTTGTCTACCACGTGGGTTGAACAAGCGAAATGCTCGCCGACTGGACTTCCAGCACTTCGTACCGCGTAGAACGATAGGATCATCCAGACCATGAGGATGAGTAGTTGGAGCTGTAAAAGTTAGAAAGGGCAGCAAATAATCACCGAGGGGGTGAGGATTTACCTCCAGCGATGGCAGCCAACAGGACAGAACAGCCCCCAAGACTGCAATTAGAAGAAGAACAACTGCCACTCCAACTGTGCAATATAAAGCGCAACGCAGCTGCGCTCGAGTCCTGGTATGGGCCATTGTATACCCATCCAGCCACCACAAGAGAGAACCCAAGCCCAGGTATTCCACAAAGAGAAGGAAGAGTACGACGACTCGCAGAGGGCGATCAAAGTAAGTACCAACTACCGTGGCCGTGATCTTCGTCAAACACGAGAAAAGCGCAAACAGCGGAAAACAGATCATCAACTGATATGGCGCACTAAGGAGGCTTCGCAAGAAAATGGTTATTCGGAGATACTGATGTTTGGTGGTTAACATAAAATCGAGAAACAACGTGATGGCACGTACCACGAGTAAAGAGGGAAATAAACTGGTTACCCCCAATACCACTTCTCTCCCTGTTTGATTTTTTGGTCCAGCTCAGTCCCATGTGCACTGCCAGTAGAATAATCTTCGGCGCAGACACGGCAAGGTCGAGGCTCTAGTAAAAGTGAGTTTTTCTAAACTAATCGACGAGACAACACGAGAAGGACGAAGCTAGCGAATAGCAACGCCGTGGTCAGTAGTGCATGCACTGTAGTCAGAATCTGAATGACTGGCTTGCTGCTATCGTGTAAGAACAAAGGGGACTTCAGCCCTAAGCCCGGATTGCCAGCTACGGTGCTTACTAGATTAGCTCTGTATTGTATGTTCCAACGTCATGAAGCCACCTACCTCGCGTTGTCTAAAGAAAATGGCTTAGTTCAATAAGTCTGGTATCTGCTCTTTATTCGTCGCTAGTCATCCCCAGACGACATTGTCCCTCCCAGGAGCCCCTGAGCTCCCGGGAACCTATAGGTGGGCCCTAGGAGCGAAGGTGTCAGGGATATACATGAAGTATACAGGATGTTTGGAGAAATGATCTGCGGGACCCACATGGTGCATATGGGTTCCCCTGAACATTTCTCCAAACATCCTGTATACTTCATGTATATCCCTGACAGAAGGGCCGGTAAATGACTATTTAGAATATGCAAGACAATGCCTATGTTCGAGTTCGGCAATTAATTATCCATGACGGGGAAATCTACAAAGCTGTGACTACACCCCATCCACTGAACTATTATTGCTCTACTCCACCATCACCAGTCACGGAAAGCGAATCTCTTATCGAATCAGCGACTGCCTTTTGTTCTTTTACAAAATAGAATTGACCACCAACAATCATGATATGATAGTTGTTACTTCCAAGAAGCTATACTTTTTCACTAAGACTTACGGAGATTAATAATGAGCTACAGGCCACTAAGTCACACGCCACTATCCTAGACTTGCCGACCGAGATTCTTTGGGTGATAGCCAACACCCTATGGGGACACGAAATTTCTGCTCTTGCTCGAACCAGCCGAATAATCTATAAATGAAGAGGAAGGGTTCTTAGGTACAAGAAAGCGAATGTTAAACATGAGAAAGAGAGGGCGAACGGAATGGAGGGGCAAAAGGGCAATCTGCTAAGGACTACATCTCTTCGGAAATCTGGCGACCGATGCTGACGTGGATCAGGGAGATGGCATTGTGAAAGACGAGTCTGTTCTGACGAAAGGTTTGAAAGTGCGCAGTGCTAGTGGTAGAAACGCTTCACTACCATGCAATATGCAATCTCATAAAACACAGACTATATGTAACCGGTTCTCTTAGAGAACACGTAAACGCTTTGCATCGCCTGACTCTGTTCGCAACAATCGTGTCTTTGCTCGTGATCGCTTTGGAGCTGGCCGACATTTCAATGCAGAGCGATGAAAGCCGATAATCAATGCCCGCCCGAGCTCTTCATTCCAAAGGACATTGTCAGGCCGAAGATCTTCGTGGAAGATTCCCAAAGCTTCGATTTCCTTATTCGATTTGTGAATATTTTTGAGAAGCCCCGGCGTCAGCTCCATCGTTGCTGTGCTTTCGCCCCCCAGCCCAGTTGGTACTTATATTGATCACCCACTGCGAGTCGTCGTACTCTTCCTCCTCTTTTTAGATTACCTAGGCTTAGCTTCTCTACAACGGCCTATCCTCGGACTCGATAACAACTGCGTTGCGCTTTATATTGCACAATTGAAGTGGCAGCTGTTCTTCTTCTAATTGCAGTCTTGGGGTTTGTTCTGTCCTGTTGGCTGCTATCGCCAGAGGTAAATCCTCACCTTTGCGCTATCAATTTCCGAGTCACCACCGGCATTTCCACCGCTAATCCCTGACCCCTATATTTCCAATTGCTTTAAGAACACATTAAAAATTACATGTGTTGACTCTGTGCTATCGTGTGAAATTTTTCGTGACTAGATTTGACTAGTCTTCGGATAAACTAACGACCGTTCGTTGAACACGGTCATAAAACTGCAGGAGGCTGGTGACCCTTCGTTTTCAGCTTTGACCGAAAACCAAGACCACCCGACAAAGGCAAGGATCGCTTCAACGTTTTCTTCTTCAACGAAGTCAAATCATTGAGGGCTAGTGCTTTGAAATTTAGAAGAATATACAATATGCAATAAACGGTCGGCTCGCGTAGCGAAGCCCCACGCTGCAGACATAGGTTGCTGTGAATATATTGTGCCGGTGTAGACGACCCGATTGTCTTCACCTCCCTCAGAAAAATCGCTTGCCCTGTTTATTTGGATCTGCCCTTTTTCTTAGAATCAATGTTTTCTAGACATCACTTAGTTCCCGCTCGTCGAAGTTGATTTTTTCTACTTGCCGTTAACCGCTGTTCCCACGGAAACCGACCGACCCATTTTTGAACATTTTGTGAGATATTAACGTAAAAGTTTTTATTTGCTAATTTGTGACCTCGATTTTTACATTGAGTATTATGTATAGCTTTAACAATTTCGTGCGCTATTCTGTCCTTTTAACGAAATTCACTTCCCACCCACTCTAACACGTAGACTCTGGTTCACCGTCCTGGAAGTTTCTTATCTAACCGGAAGGCCAAATTCCACCCTTTTAACCGTTGTAGTTGATATGTGTATTTGGTTGCCTTACTTTAATTTCTATCACTTAGTTTCTTCCTATCGGACTAAGCTATATATAATGTTGGATGAAGATTAACCCTTGCTTCTAATCCAGACAATAGTGCGAGCTTAATGTTGCCGGGTCGACGTATTAGGACGTGGGGGCTTAGGGGAAGCCTGACCTAAAAAGCTAGATATGCCATCTTCTCAAAGTATTTATAAATGACCTATATAATGTCCGGTGTATATAAACGGTTTTATTTGGATTGATCGAACGGTGGTATATTAGGACTGGAGGACCAAGCTCTGCTTCTGTCTGATGGGCTTTTTGCTATCGCATGCATTTTGAAGCCCTCCCTAAAGTCTAGCTTGAAACCTAAGGGCTCCGCAGGAAAAGCGTGACACCTATATGACCGTGATCCTTGGAAATATCGTACGCTGTCGTGCCTTCCAAATCTTTTAGTCGCTTTTTCATATCACGTTGCATGGCCAACAGCCGCACAATTTCTAGTTGACCACCAGCGGCGGCCCACCAGAAAGATGTCCTCCCTATATCATCCATTTGGATCCTCTAATAATAGGTTAGCGATTCTAAGTCTACCGTTAGTTGACGCGAATATGAGCGCTGTAAAGGATTGAGGACCTTGGTCATTGACTAATATAGTCTCTTCGTAGCTAAGAAGGAGTCGGCCAATGTCCACATGCTCCATGACGATTGCGACCTGAAGCGGCGACGTCCCTGTACGGCTTTTTCGGTTGATTTCGGTTAATTTTTGCAAGAGGAGTTCCACCATGGAAGATTGTCCTACACGACATGCTAACCAAAGCGGCGGTACTACATCGGCACATTGGGGGCTTATATAAAGCCCCGGCTGTTGTCGGACTAAATTGCGGTGCGTCCATTTTTATCTCGATGGTTCAGGTCGATATAGGGACCCAAAAGCAAGGCTTCAATTATAAGCAGCTGTTTATTGAGGTGGTAACTCACAGACCGATAGGAAAGTTCTAATAGACATTAAAGTCAAGCAAGTCATATTTTTCATAGCGTGATAAACAGTCAATGTATTATCTAGTCCGGGTTCTAGAGTATAGCCCCACCTATAAGTGGGCATATAGGGGCTCCTAGGAACGATAAGGCCGCTCCTAGGGCAGCAAGCTGGTCTCCAGGAGTACCCAGAGAGGTTCCTGGATACTAATAGGTTCCTAGGAGCGCACGTTACTCACCTAGGAGCGTATATCGCCATCCTAGGACGAGCAAGTTTCTACGTAATCATATTGAACTCGTAGATCGGTCCCACGCTTTTTTATGTCAATTTTGTCCATAGGCCAGCCATAACTAAGAATTAAATATCACTTAGGAGCTATAATATAATACAATTTAAAACATACATGGTACGTTACATTACACTAAATAATTACTTACTAAGTTTTATTATTCATCTGTGGCGGTGCAGATTATGTAATTGTAATTTAACTATCTGTTTCCATGTAACAAGCTGGCTATATTGAGTTTTCGCCAGAACAGCCAATAAGTTGCTTGCATTGCTAGTCTTCACGGTCTGTTACCTGTTGCCCACTGCATTTATTTTCCGGATAGGTCCAATCAAATACGACTAGAAATAAGAACTCGACTATTATTTAAGGGGTTATCCGCGGGCTCACGTAAAAAGGAAGCTCATCATGCTTCAAACTTGTGCGCTGAAAGTGTAGGGTATTAGCCCCTCGAGTTTAACGTATATGCGTTTACTCTCTAAATAACGAGGCCGCGATTTTACAGGAACTTCAGCCATTCAATTCTAACTGATCTGTTATTCTCGCATAGCTAGGAACTTTCCGATGGTGTGACAAGGAGTCTAGTTAGGTCGGCGAGGGTTGGACTACGCGGCTGAATAGCAAGTTTTGTACAGACTGATAATAACCAAGCATAAGTGAAATATTATGATTGAAAATATGATTTAGTTGCCCTTTTAATTGGCCCCAGATCTGGTGCATCTCTAAGAAGGCTTCAATTCCATCTGAGCCTATCGTAGTAACGCCATATCAATATCCGCGAAATGAGGCCCGATCTATCTCAGGGTTAGCTTCTGTCTCTATAGGTCACGCAACTTTCGTTTATTCTTTGTATTAAGCCTCTACCTGGGCTTATAGCTGTTTAAACTATTAGAATGATGCTGGAGCGACTGAGTTTGTGCCTTAAATCTAGTGAGGGCTCTGCGAGGGCCACTAGGAGGGGCTTGATTATCAATAGATAGGCTTCCCTCGCTACCTTCTCCCCGTATAAGTGGATAACTTGGATTACTCTCCCACTCAAATTCCGTAGTAACGGCTTGGTTATAGGTCGACAAAGAGGTAAGACATTGTAGTCCTTTCCTCTTATTAGCTTCAGTGACAGCACAGTATCCAGAAGGCTGACTAGCAAAGCTTAGAGCGGGAGGTTGCGGCTGTTTTATACCTATGACGGACATTTCGGTGGCCTTATCCTCTTCTAGTGGGAAAATGAGTGAATTTGGCTGGATGACAACTAGGTCACAAGATTGGCGTGTATTGTCGGTGTTAAATTCGGGAGGTTCGAGGATTCGAGGATCAATGGCCTTAAGACCTAGAGTTGTTAGCCCCGAGCTGGGTGTGGGACTTGCCTCTAAGAAGCATAGTTCCACTAAGTTGCTTCTACTCCTCGTGCTATATTTGTCACACATACTTAGCCCCGAGTATTGTTCCAGATTGTCTTCGACAAACGGAAGCAATACCGGGACGGGGACAAATGATTCTTCTGACACGTGCTTACGCTCATGGCATAGAGGTGTGTAATAATGAAATCTAATCTTCTTAGGATGCTCCTCTCCTAGTTCTATTAAAGAGCATTGTGATTCCACCTTATAAGTGCGCTTCCTTTTGTTAGGTAGCTTTGGATCTTGCCATATGGTTTCCTTTAGCCTATACGCATCGTGTAGGTGATTTCGAAGGTCACGCTTATTTTTAAAGATTTAAGAGCATCCGTATATCGGCTTTTTCTTAAAGTGCTGAATCTCAGCCATATACTGCCCTTCAATGTGTTCCCTCAGGTTGTCACTTCGCAGCCAGGATCGCAAACGGGTTTCTGCGGAGAGATTCAGCTTCGAGTCCTATAAGCAAAAGGGGCAATAGCCCGGGCGAATAACGGTATAGCGATAGATGATTACTTCGCAGTGCTGGATTTACTATAACTAGAGATAGGAATCGCAATGCTTCCGCCATTGACTCGACAAAAACCATTCTATACATTTATAGCAAAACCGCATCTCTGATTCTAATATTTGAAGGTCAGAAGCTTTCTCACGCCGAACATATCCGTGAATATAGGCACTTCTATCACACTTCCTTAGACTAGCGGAGTTAGTATTGGCCATATCATTATTTAGCTAGGGCACTCACCTTGCAATGCTAATATGGCACCCTTTTTGCAGGACAAAGCCTATAAATAGGACTTTGATTTAGGAGGTATACCACATTAAAATCACGGGCACACTACGTCTGTAGATCTTAGATAAGAAGAAGTTTTTCGTTAAAAGAAAGCTCTTTGGTGTAGGATATGGCTGTTGCGATTCGCGTAACCTCGGGTATAATCAACATTTGAGCGCGTGTGCGAATGTCATTTTCTAAATAAGTCGGCTCTTCTTTTCCTCGATTAATAATTTTCTGGTCTCTTTTCTCCTATACCCACCGATTTTGATATTGCTTGAGTTCGAATAGGCGATGCCGAACGAGCGCCTTCCTATATTCTAAATTCATGTTCTTAAGGGAATCCTCGTCGTGGTTCTACGCGAATGATTCGATCTAGGCTCTCATTTCCACCATATCTGGTTTTTCTAAAATACTCCCTTTTATCTCTGCTAGCAACTCGCCTGGTAAGCCACGTTCGTAATATTGAATATAACCTTAAAAGTACTCGATATGATCGGATTGGTCTTCCTTATCTAGAACGGCTCCCACTATATCTATGGAGGAACAGTGGGCTTGATAATACTCCGGAAAGGTACCTAGGCCCCGATGCGCCATAATCTGACTGATAGGTGTAGAGCCATTCCTCTCTATTAAAATCTTAGTATGAAGATCTCTCTCGAGTGTCTATTGATTGTTTTGTGTGGTGTAAGGGGCTTACTTTCGATTTTTTTCCTAAGGCCTCGTCGTATACAATGGATAGTTGCCAGTTCACCAAAGTACCCTGCAGCATTAAAAATCTAACGCAGGTAAGAACAAAATTTTTGTTTCGTCAAAGGTGTCTCCTGAGGCCCGTCCGCCGTGGCATGCCTAAGAACTGGTTTATCTAAGTACTCTTCCTTCCATCGCAAATGAATCTCGCCATTTAAAAGATCAAACTGCGCTAGATCATCCACAGTATCCACCCCATAAATAGCACCGTATGCTAATATAAGGGAGAAAAGAAGGTAGCCCGACGCAAATTGCGGCCTATTGCTATCCCGGATACCGATTCCGAATCTAGAAGCACCAGTTAATAAAGCCCTAGTATATTCGACAATTATACCACTAGGTCCTTCTGACTCACACTATGTATTTTTCACATCGATGATTTTTGAGCCACTTCTAATCCACCTTCTAACCCACCGCCCAACGAGCTGTGGATAAAGGAAATAGTACCAATTTAATATGCTAGAATAGAGGTTAGTGTTATATAATATCGCTAGGGTAAAGAAGCTTACTCTGTATCGAAGACCTCTTTCGTGTTTGTCCTCACTAGAGGGTACAAAAGCTCCGACTCTTACTCCAGTGAAGAGGAACAGCTAGAGAGCAAACAAGATAACGACTTTAAGCAGTCCCGGAATAAAAGTTTAGTGATCAGTCTGCCACAAAGACGAGACTGCTCTCAAAAAATCATACCTTATAAAGTTAAGTTTCTCTTTCTTTTGGTCTACAACGACGCCATCTGCCGTCAAGGTTTTTTTAATCCACTACATCGAGGTTAATTTATAATGGTCTTAGAGGGGAAGTTGCGAATAAACCAACCATTTTTATTTCCTTTCGATCATCTAGGATGATTTTACTTTTTGTGAATTATTCAAATCCACCAAAGAATTGTTCGGCATGCGCACTCACGGTTCTTACCGTAGGTAGCCCATCATCGTTTAGTCGCCCTTGAGTAGAACTTGCGTACCAGCGAATATACGCCTTGATCATCTCATGAGTTGGAGCCGGAGAACCAAGGGAGGTTTAGTAATATTTAAACCCATTCTCCGGGTCTGCAGTGAAACTAAAGGAAGGTTAGCTGAATTTATAATAGGAAAGGGATTGCCACTTTAGATGCGGCTTAACTCACTCGAGCCAGAGGTTCATAGTTTCTTAATGTAATTTGTTAGTCTTGGGGAGCCTTTTATCTTTCTCCCGAATTAAGTCCTCCTCTCTATAGACCCTAGGAGTATAACCATTCTTTTCTCGCTGTAGACGGCGCCTCTCCTTGGCGATTCCATCGCGCTTGGCAAAAAATTCTTTTCTGCCCATAATCAAGTGCGGTGCGACCTGGAGGTAGGGAATGTATTCAAAGTAAAAGAATGCGATATTAGATCATGTATTAAATAAAAAGTGCTTAAATAGAAGGCGTGTTGATTATTACATGCTAAAGCTAGCACACGGTCTGTCTTTATATTTGGGACTTTGAGCTCGAGCCCCTCTGAATGAATTAGAAGACAGAAGAAAGACATCATGAAACGGATGGAGTTCTCCGCTCTTTCCTGCGCCCCTTCGTCATAATGTGTTTTCTTGATGAGGTGTAGTGCGCCGGAAAATGAGGGCAGCAGCAATGCTATCAACGAACTAACTATCACAGTATAAACGACCCTGTGGGGGCTAATCCCTTCTGGGTATAGTCTGAGATGGGCTGAGTGCATCAGTGTTGCTCACTGATTGGACACTGAGCATCACTGAGTAATCAGAGAGCATCTAATGAGCACTCACTGAGCACTCACTGAGCATCAGTCATCCTGCACGTGACTGATCTGAGCATGATCACTGATCTGAGCCCGTGCTGACATCTACTCAGTGAGCCTGAGCCTGAGCACCCTCATAAAAGCGGCGGCAGCTCAAATAGGAAAGCCCCACCCGCCAGGGAATATCCGGTACGTATAGGTGCATGTATAATATCCCACTTCCTAAAAAGAACTTGGAGCCTCGCCAAGACAGGCTGCCCTCATTGCGCGCGACTGTTGAACCAGTTAAGATGCCTCGGTGAAGTTCATGACGGCTTTGACCGTCCTAGTTCGTGAGACAGTGTTGGGTTTACCATTCTTACTATATGCTTCGGCACCACCGAATTGAATGCAAGCCGGGCTCTCGAACTTGGACGCTTTCTCAATGATATACCAATACGAAAGCATCGTAAACGTCCATCTAAATTCAATACCTATCTGAGATTGTATACGTACCTCAATTGTGCAGCTGTGATGTTTTGCACTCTCATTGAATGTAAATGGCCAAAGAGTGACACGGCATAGTATGATAGAAAATGCAAGGTACTTAGAGTACTGTACAAAAAGAGCGAATAAGATAATTTTGAACTTGAGCCTGAATCTCCAAAGCTGGAAGATGGGAAGCGACAAAAACAGGAATCCTCAATGAGTTCGATTAGGCCATTCTCGCCATTGGCCTTCAGTTTCCATCAACCTATACACATGGTTCTGCCCTGGGTACTCAATATATATATCATCGGTAGTCCTAACTGCGACGAAGAGCACGACAAGACGGAGTGCGGGCAAGAGCGGATGAAGTGGAGGATGAAACAGTCTCTCCAAGCAAATCCATGGCAAAATCAGGAATAGTTGACCTGATGGCTGCCAAGGCACTGAAAGTAGGTGTTCCGGTGCATGGCGGCTCACCTTCGCGAAGAAGATTATTTATTTGGCCATTGTGCTCAACAATGCTTCCTGGCCGAGGAAACCGAATGTCCACGTTCTCTTTGGTTATACAGCCATTTATGTTGGCGATGAAAACGGGTGGGAAATCTGGCGTTTGATTTTGTATGCTCTTGTAGGATTGTTGCGACGAGCCACGAGCCACGGTGATTGGGGCGCAGTTCATATACATCTCACCATTACCAATACGATTGAACCACGTCCAGGCCAAAGTGTATTTCCCGGGCTGAATGTTTTCGGGGATTGCGAAATCGAGTTGAAGGTCATTGTCGGCAGTGGCGCCTCCAGCAAGATTTTTTTCTGCATTCGTGGGGCAGCCTCCTTCAAAAGACTTAATAACCTTCCATTCGGAATCTTTGGTTGGCTCACGGTCTTCGGTCAGGCTCAATTGGCATGAGCCACCGCCGTGAGTCGCGCTTCCTTCGAACCTCATTGTATTTTCAATGCCAATTTGGTAGATATTCTCTAATGAAGGGGCTAGGAACGTATCTGTGCGTAGTTTGCATGGAAAATCGCTACCACTGTCAGCAAGAGGGGAGTTGTTGAGGGTTTCATTGCTGTAGGGTTCAGGCGAAATCATGATCAGATGTCCGCTGACCGCCCGTAAGACGATTGTCTCCAACAGTAGAGTATATTTCAGCAGCATTATAATAGTGACAGGCTTGGTTGATCTTCGCTATATTGGAGCACTACTTGAAGGTCCTAATCTGACGTAGAGATCTAAGGGTTTGGAAGTCGAGGAAACTGTTAGTTTATATAAGATATGCAGCAGGCCGCAACATCAACACCAACACTGAAATCAGTATGAAGAGAAAGCTGATGTGAGTCAATCCGAGGTTTGTTGTTTTTGAATTGTTCCTCCGTTGCAAACAAAGCTGTAGCATGCGGAGTGAGATCGGTTTGGCTCGTGTGCGATGGATTCCTGCAATGGTAAGATTTCTGGAAGATAGCAACTTCCTATTACACTTAATATATAGAATAACTACCGGTTCTCTAAGTATCCAAGATCTGGAGTGCGTAGCCACCCGGGAAGGTTAAAAAGAATGGGGTGAATGGCATAAAATCGAATCGACTTAAAAATCAGAAAAGTGGAGCCATATAAACAAATCGAATCGACCACCATCCTATTTACCGCTATTGGATAGAGAAAGGAGGGGCAGCGCTCGTTCCAGGGGGGGGGGTGTTGGAAGCCGGCATCACGTGATCGACCTCGCCTCCACCCCTTAACAAGCCAAGATAGCTTGACAATGGCTGTTGCGCGATTACGTAATCTACACGTGAGGCCTCAATTCTCTCCCGCCCTCTCCCTCCCTCTCTCTCTGTCTCTCTGTCTCTGTCTCTGTCTCTGTCTCTGTCTCTGTCTGTCTGTGATTCAGAATCTTCGAGGAACCTTTACAAGCGACATCAGCAACTCTTCTTACACTTGGGACGAAATGAGTCAGGCTACTCCGATGCGGATAGTCCTTCCATATCGCGAACAACCTTTTCAAAAGCCTACAGCAATCATCAACGCTTTCTTTACATGGCGAGGTATTCCACCCCCCGAGAAGACTACTATACACATATATGCAGTGATCCTCGATCTTCTCGGTTATATCTCGTTCTCGATCTCCACTGCAAAACACATCCAAATGTCGATCTTAGCAATTTAGACCTCGAAGTCTTCAAAGTCTCAGGAATTGATCCATTGTGCGTTATCCTCTTCTATAACCTAGCTAAGCTAACAGTATTTAGTACATTTCAGGATCTCGGAGAGGTAGCTCGCAAGCAGGTTCGCCAACGATCTGCTTCTCTGGGTTGGGGGAAGGCACCCACTCTAGTCAGAGGAATTAGTCGGTGTTGTACCAGCACAGGGAGGACAGTATCCCGCTATATTCGTGTCTTGCGCATCGAGATCCAACGGGAGGTCTCTCAGAAACCCTGAGGGAGGTACGCATGGGTCATTTGCAGTGCTTCTTGCGGGTGTACAAAAGATAATGTGATCTCGATTCATGTGTTTAGGAACACGCGTACAAGCTGCGTATGTCTTGCAAGCCCATTCACACATTGCGTGAGAGTGAAGGAAGTCGGTTAATATTGAATATCGCAGAGAGGACCTTCACACAAAGCGGATCGTGATGCGAGAGACGTAGTCTTGAAAGGGAAGGCGGCTCGAAGAGGAGACAATCTGTATTTATAGAATCAATGGTCTGTTCTACAGCTCTAAACACCATTCAAAAAGATAACTTACTTCGTCCTTGGTTATAATAGTTGCGGGCTAAAGGGGCAGCGCGATCGACGGAATAATTAAGAGGTTCAGCCCCTGGAACACGAAGGCTTCCGCGGGTCTGTTTGATCGAATTTGTGATGGTATGATACTGCTTCGATGAGGGGGCAACGGAAGTGGATATTGCCCCTACGGTAAGACTCGCGTAGTTCAGAATCTTGTGTTTCGGATGTATAGATATCTCCTGTCGAACAAAGAGCATGAATGATACTTTATAAGCAGACAAACCAGATTTGTGTCCGTAAGGAGCAAAGTTGCCGAGGACCAATAGTATGCCTGAGTTTACCGCTGTTGGCTGAGATTTCAATGTGGCTACGTATCCTTACGAACTGCTTGCAGGTATTGGCCAATAGCTGGGCTGCATTTGCAGGAGCCATGCAGGAGCAATCACATTAGGCGTTTGTTGATAGTTCAGCGTCTCTGAGCCGACCGAGACCGAAGCACAATCATCAGGACCTACACATAGGCGGTGGAGTGAGTCGGCCTAATTTTCTTTCCGCTGGGCCTATAAATGCGTAGCGTCTTAGCTGGCCTGGCAAATATCGTACGTAGCTTGTCATTGGGTACCTTGATTTAGGTGGACATTTGAAAGGACCCAACTTACTGCCTATTTATAGTTCCTATCATTTACAAAAGCTAATGATTGCTCCGTGTCCTCTGATATGGACCGATCATTCACTTTGACTTTCCACTCCATAGTATACCGAATAAAGCTTGCGGGAAGCTCGTCGTCTGGCCTATTTGCTTCCCACTCGGAGAGCTGAAGCAGCTTATTGGCTTCCGGTGGGGTTGAAAGTAAGGGCTCGGAACCGTCCTGGGGGCAACGGTTCAGTGTGGGTCAGAGGCAATCTAACTGTATTAGGCATAGCGTTATGCAAAACAAAGTTCAGCAAAGAATTAAAGAGAGTATAGAGATGAAACTGATTTCGAGCGCGTCTGTATTATGAGCATTTTAAGCCTTTTCAAGACCAGCAGTCTTTGGTTCTTCAACAATCTCGGTCACATTACAGGGCACTGGCGGGGCGAGAGAGCTTTGCTGGATTCTTGAACGTACCCCTCATAAGCGACACCCTAGTGAAGACAATAGAAGTGATGTTTGGAGCACCGAAACATTGTGTGCTTCAGCTCCAGAACGACGAAGCCAGTGCCAATATTAATTGGCTTGACGTTGTCAAGGAAAGGAACTATCAGGCCGAATACAAAGGGAATGGAATTCATCATTTCCATATGTGGGATCGGGGCGTGATTGTCCAGTTGTCTGCTTTCCAACACAACATGATCCTATTCACTCGCTTACATCACCACGCAGTCATCAAAGCCAATAACACTGTGCTTGAAGAGGTACGAAGAAGAGATCGAATTCTCCACCGCAATCCGGAGTCAAAGATCGCCGGGCTTGCCCTTTTCCCTGGAATCAGCCGAAGAGCCAGCAATCTTTACGCCAGCGCAGGTTGACGCTGATTCGCTCGATGGGATGACTATTGAGACTCAAAGAACAGACGTGCAAGCCAGTGCTTCAAAACGCGATGCTGGAACACAGAACTGTAAGTAATGCACATAAGAAGCGTGGCGTTGAAATTGGAGAGATTGAACAAATGTACTAATAATTTGGATGTACCAGTCCCCAAAAATAGGGCTTGGCCTGCGGAAATATTGAAGCAGCTTCCTCTATGGTTCGAACACCAAGTGCAGGAGAATCTGTCGGAGGAAGAGATTGCCCGGAACTTTCACCGAAAATTCAAGCAAAAACGGACTTTTCATGCTATTGAGGCAAAAGTGTATTCCTTAACAGGAAAAAGCCCTTTTAGGAAGCGCAATAAGAAGGCCTCGCGCAGAAGACCTGTGGCTTTGACACCTCGCTCCTCCCCACCGCCGTCTCAACCCTCTGAATCAGTGGATTTCACCCAACAATTGATCTCGAGGTCGAACATCGAGGTTCACGCTTTACGTCTAGCCTCGAACCTGCTAACCTATAAATTCTGAAGACTGCGAGGATGGAAGCCTTTACGCCCTCCATGGTGTTCAACCGGCTGACCCTGAACCAGAATCCAGTGACTCACATGCAGTGCTTGAACAGGATACTGTGAATCGAATGTTAAGGTTCCGGCACGTATCTCAAGAGCATGAACTACAGTCAGGTACATGCCAAAATGAATGGCCAGTTCGAGGAAGCCATCAGGCTGAAGAATCGCCCAAAGACCATCCAGTGCCCTCAGATCTGGTGCCCAAAAGTCAGCCAAGGAATGATAATCCAATCAATGTCCTCGCCGCAACATCAGGGATGGTTGATTCTTGCTTCACTCGAAGCTCTCCCTTAGAACCCCCTCGAATATCAGAACCTATCCAATCTTCAATCTGGCATCCCTCTGAAGGTGATACCACACTCGAAGAGCTAAGCCAAACGCTTATCCATCGTACTGAGTCCAGTGCAATGCACGTGGAACAGACAGATACGGCGCATGGCAACAAACCATCAAAGAGACTTTCTCCGCAATCTTCATCGCGTGGAAATCCATTAGCTAGAGGTTCAGCAAATGAGGGTTCGAATAATGAAAGCCACACAGAAAGTGTGGCCATGTCACCAACGCCCTTCCAAGTTCCTGAACCAAGCTCCACTGGTAACTCGACTGAGCATCACCCTCAAAACTGCGGAAGTGATGAACCAACCATTGATACCTCTGAAAGAGCTTTGACTGACGAAGGATTGATTATAAGATGTCTCCATGAGAAGTCTAAAGCACAGGCGGCGCGTTCTCATCCCAATTGGAACGATAAGGACCTGAACCGTTTACTAGGGTGGCACATGAAACGGAAAAACCTACCAAAGGAGAGACTTGAAGTTGAGTTTCTGAGAGATTTTGGCCACTATCGATCTCCTTCCGCTATCGTTACAGCTTGTCGCAGAAAGAGAAAGGCAGATTCTCGTCATAAAGATGTAACCTCAGCCCCCACTCCAGGTCAACTAGCTCCGGTTGTCCCTACCGTTCTTGATACTATGCGGGTATCACGATCACCCAACGCCATCATTGGATCCGACATTCCCAGCTTGGATCCATCCCATACTATAGCTATACCGAGCAATGAGAATATTACACTTAAGCATCCACCGTTGGAGCGACCTCGATCGCCACAACTCAATCAGCCGCAGGTTTTAAACAACACAGAGAGACTTTCTTGCAACAGTCCTCCACCATTGAATGAGGGCGAAGAAGCAATGAATCAAAATCCACCGACTGCTGTTGCTTCCGAATGCGCTTCTGAACCGATGGTGTTTTCAACACCTCCTGAGACTGTCGATAATACCTCCACATTGGGCACTAGATGCCATCGAGTTGAAATCACGCCAAACCCTCCAGCTAGGTTTAGAGCAATTAATGGCTGTAACGTCCATCCAATTGAACCGAACATAAGCGAAATGACTCCGCTCGCTCAGATGGGAACCAATGAGCGAGACGCTCTACCTCAAACATCGAAAGAAAATATTGTCGAGCAAAAAAGAAATGATCAAAATGTGTCGTCACAGAAAATAAGTCCCAGAGTAAGCTCATCCCTTCTAATGCGGTGTTCGCCAAAGTCATTAGGTCCTTTGAAGCATGTCGGATCCATATGTATTACCTAACCCTTCTTCTCCTCCTTTCTTCCTGTACCCGTTCATGCTTCCCGCACTGACTGTTTTCATTTGGTGCACCTGCAGGTGGAAGAGAATGCCCCAACCAGCCTACCTTCGAGAACGTGCAGACAGGTTCACATTACTCAGGGTTGTCCACCGGAACACCCGAAGGAGCTGGGGACCAACCGTCAGATTCTACTGGTATTTCGGACGCCAACATTCCACAACTGGAAATGCGCCCAAATTTGCAGAATACGTCGCAGCCTCAAATACGAGACATCAATATCCCACCCACAAACATTCCCCAGCCCAGTTACACACTAATCCCAAAGTTTCATACTCTGGACCATCCCATTACTACACGCCCAATTCCCAATCTGGGGTTTCCCAATCTATCGGTGCATCAGGGATGGCTGACACAGGCGGTTCGTTCATAGTCTATACTCGTGATTCCATGCAGTCCTGACATGAAGTTTGAGGCAGATTTTCCATTATCAGATCCAACCTTCCTGACCAGCCCTACCAGTCTTCCTCCCTATCCCCTTCACTAGCTGCAGGGGCACGGAGCCGAGCGGTACCAGGGCCATCCGCTCCCATACTTGGCGCAGCAAATGTATCACCATCGTGCGGGAGAGCCTCTTGATAGACAGCCGCCTCACCACGTGTTGTCTGGCCCACATACCTCCTCGATTATCACAACTGGCCAAACATCCTCTACCTCAGTAGTAGGGCTTCACCCTAACTAGACATGGCATGGTTTGGGTGATGTCAGCTTTCAGATCTCTCTGTCATTATGGTTGTCTTGCCTAAATCTCCAATCTCAATGTATACGCATCAAATTTGGGTTCTCCTCCTTCTTCCTTTCTCTTGTACTTGCTCTCTTTATCCTGCGACTGCCACGCTATTTATCCTTTGGCCAATTCAGAAAACTCTAGTCGGTATCGTATCACCCCAAATAGAACACAGAACACAGTGACAGGTAGGTACTTCTGTCTGCATCTGCAAACTGGGCGTCAATTAAAAAAATCGGCTTATATTTTATAGCCTGAATTCTGAACTCCGTGCCAAAGGGTTTATACTGATTTCGCGAATCATGGATTTTGTTGCTCTAAATATTGAAGATAAGCCCATATCTGCCGAAACAAAGCAGCCCTGATTGATCTCGCAGGGCAGCGTGAAGAGACCCGAATTCTACAGTCGCTGAGCGTCATATATAATTCCATGGCACACCTCCCTTCTAGCTTTGAAAAGCAAGCCGCGTAGATGGCTTGGAGATAGATAGCGGACATTGAAAACGTGGAATGCTTGGGGTGTCTATCCGAACGAACGAAATCGGCGGACACACTCGCGTTTTTGACCCAGGTGGCATGGATAATATAGGGCTTCGAGTGGCTTTTGCAAGTTGAATGGAAAGTTGATATAAATATAAGAAAGCTATGAGGACGACACGCATCGTCATCCTGGTGGTTCATAGAGAGTACGCCGTTAAGTTGTATTCATTTTCATATCTCAAGCAACCAGCCAGTTCTGCATCAGGAACTATGAGGTGACAAGGGAGTGGCGAGGCAGGAGGGGCGGACGTGACTCCGTTGTGAGGGTGGATCGCAAGATGTAGAGAGTGCAGCCTCAGCCGTGACCGTAAGTTTCTTTCTGGCAACGATTGTGGTTGTTTTGGAAGAGGCAAACGCTAGATGACGATATGTGGGGCTAACCGCCAAAAATGAGGGCGGGTGGAAAGTGCGTTTCCTGCCAACAGCCCTCAGCTTCAGTAGTAACCAACAATGGCGAGTCTTGCATGACAAAAGAGACCGTACAAGAAAAACATTAAAGACATCGATCTTTACTCGATGGCGACTATGAATACGTTGAGACACCCTCATTTAAACGACCTTTAGTCAATCGATTCCCCGCTGAGCGCCCAATTTCATTCAACCCCTCATATTAAAATGTGCCCCAGTTCACCACCACTCGTTTCAATACCGCAAGTTCTACCCCATGCGCTTCATATATGAACATTGGCACGTCCTATGTGGACATTGTCCCCATCGAATTTTGGTGATTAAGTCTTCAACGGTCAAGAACTTATACCCATAACAAGGACAGCCGAGTGCGCGTCGAGGCTTCCTTGGATTGCTCTCCATGCGCCTTTTCATTTCACGATATCGCTTATTGGGAATACACTGTCAATCTTGTTTCCGACCATTCTCTTTCTCCTGGTCTTTTTTTGGCTCATTCACATAAATGAATATGTTGTATCCAGAAAATTTATACTTTGGCGTAATAAAATATGCCAATGAACAAAATCATCCCCATCAGTGAGATCGGCATGCAGCCATTGTGAATCCTCGGGCACCGAGTCAGTTATCCAATGAAAGGTGCATATAATCGAACTCCACAATGGCCCTGCACTAGCATCAATCCGCTCCAGGCGAACGCAAATAACACACGTTTTACGCTGACCATTGCTACGTAATGTACGATTTCTTCTCCCCTCCTCCCCCTTTTCTCCAGGCCATGCCACTTAACCAAATGAACATCAACTCGCTGTCGAACTGTCCGGCAAATACCTACCGCCAAGACCCACGACTCGAAAGCTTCCTCACATGGTCCTGAATACGCGTATACACACACGGCTACAATTCAACCCAGCAGCCAATTTAATCCACTGGCCTCCAACTATAGTAGTGAAAGAATAAAGTGAATTGTTTACACTCGATCACACATTTAATATACCCCAATTGCCTTGCATACAACCTGCTAGATTGTGCAGAACCAATTTAAATTCATGACACGTATGATTTAGTCTCATAGTTAGCTAGACAAAGTGATAACGCCAGAGTTGTAGTTATGCTTCAGGGTTATATCTAGGAACATTGGTTCAGATTTGGCAAATGTTACAGTGAAACCGAATTGAAGCTTAATGGATCAGTGTTGAAGGAGTTGCTCGTGATGGTACCCCATTCATTATCCCGTTCGACAACGATCCAGTGTCCGCGGGAAATAATATTCCATATCTCGACTAGCTAGTCAGTCCTCTCTGTAGGATTCTGTGTATTCACATCGCCGTTTCGGAGGCTCTCCTTGTTGGAAAAAAAATGGCGGAGGGTTTCCTTTTTCCTTTTAAGCATCACTTTTCCATCTTGGGCTTTCCCCTTCTCGTATGGGCTAAAAAGACAGATCTCCTTTTCATTGAAAAAGCCCCAATCTAGATGTTCATCCGACAAAACGATCGGAACTTCTTTGGAAAGCTCCACGATGAATGTGTAACTAGCCATTCGTGACTCTTTGTGCCGGAAAGTGGTCCTGTACACAAGCGGGAAGATGAAGTTGGACGATATTTCCAAGCTGGCCTCCTCCCTGGTCTCACGTAGGGCAGTCTGCAAGATGGAGACGTCTTTGCCAGTTTCGTACCCTCCCCCAGGTACCTCCCAGCTTCCGCCCCAGGAGCCCTCATATCCACGCTGGATTAGCAGAACCTCAGGCTGGGGCGGGGTTTCTGAATTTTGGCGGAAAGCGATGACGCTAGCTGTAAAGCGGTTGGTGTCGGGATTCTTTTCTTGGAGAACAGACATAGGGATATTGACATCCTGGAGCCTCAGCAGGATGGGCTCTGTAGTGGAGTCATTGAAGGAGGATGCCATGGCCGAGGTGGTTAAGGAAAAATAATAGTGACTTGAAGAGAGGATGCAGTATCAGCTGGCCTGGGAGCCCTGCCGTCTTATATAGATTGGTAAAGTACAGTATATTTGATTTTCCTTCCATTTAATCGAGCAGAAAGGTCTGGACCTGGGTGGATGTAGACACCGCTCTTCCACCATTTCAGTCGTGGCGTTCTATCTCAGTGTCAACCCGGATGTCATCCGATTCGCTCCATTAAATATAATTAACACACTGCCATGACTCATAGTATAGAAACCCTGGCATTAGACTAGGAATTTACGGGGATTACTGCTGGACTATCATGTCCGGTTTGTTGACATCCTCGTATTGCCTGTTGCAAGCTATATGAAAGCCTAGACTAGTGGGGCAGCCAATATGGTCCAGTCCACTCTGTCTCCATGGCTGAGATTGAGATTTTCCCTTCGCAGCAGGGTATAATCCTCCTGGTTCTATGCCAGACAAAACTACTTGAGCAACAGTAAAACTGTAGCGGAACCGGTATGGCGACTAGGATGCCCGATACACATTTCTGGCATTTGTTTCTACTCTCTCACAAGTCTGGTTCCGGCACGCATCAGACTCTAATGCAACTATTCGTCATACTATAAGGGATGACAAAAGCCGATCTGGCACTTTCAAACTTATGATCCCCTCATAATGGACCAGCCGGTTCACAACTCCTTTGCGTTTATCTTGGCTCTCAGAGCGCAAAATTACACCGGATTATGGGGCAGTTGTAAGCGGATCGGCCATAAGATCGTACCTTGGTTATCAATACCATGCTAACGATACAAACACCCGCCCCTTTTTGTTGATTTAGGTCAGCTGACTCTTCTTTTCTAGGCTGATGGCATTGGGGCCAAAAGTTGGCTCCTGGGAGCAAAGCCGTGGGCATAAAGTCTACCAAGGTGGAGCTTTTCCAGTGGCGTCATGCGGCTGACCTCCACTGGCCAGGGCCTGAGTTCTCTCTAGATTTACTTCAGGGGATAGGCCTGCATCCTACTACAGTAGTATCAGCCCAATCGGTATTAATGTTGCGGACTCCCCTTGTATGAGTTGTATCATTTCTGTACACTGGGTCGTCTCTTATCATCCCTCCTTCTCTCTTTTGGGCTTCTTGATCATGCAAACAAATATGGCTCTCAAAGAATCATTAGTGGGACAGCCATCAATATCACATAATCCAATGAACATTGGTTCGCTGTTGACCGATCCGGAAATTTGCTGACCCCAGCACCCGAGACCCTACTCGAAGAAAACGGCCCAAGGTCTCGAATCAGAATCCACAGTCCAGCCCGGTAGCAGCCATTTTAAGAGCCCATGTTCGCAGGATGACAAGCAGGTGCAATTTCGGACCTGCCATATATTTCTTCAATCACTGCGAAACAGACCAGTTTCAAACGTCGCATAACCAGAAGCAATCACAATCGCCTAAGATTCGACGAGGAGGAGATCTGGTTTGTCTGGTACAAACGCGTTGCTCTCAGGCAACCATGGGACGATGTCCTTGAGAGATTTAACCGCCAATTCCCGAACCGCCGACGTCTTGGTACCCAAGGAATAGAATGCATGTGTTATCGAGGGATCAAAGAGAAGGACTACCCTATCTCCCAGGGCAGGACCACTTCTGTGAGCCTGAAGCCGAGCGAGACATTTTCCATATAAGCAAGGTCGAATCTATCATTCGTCGCGCGAATTTGTCGTACCCGTGGATGCTGGAGGCTTTTAAAACAGCCTGTTCCCCATCCAAAGATTACGATGATTCTGGACAGACTTG